GCGCAGTTGCCAAGCTATTGGCTTCGGCATCGGGGGTCGTGGGTTCGATCCCCACGGGACAACTATTTGTGTGACCCGCAGATAGTTGTTCCGCATCTCGGTGTCTGTCCACGTGACATTTATGTTTGTATAACGTCCTTACAACACAGGGTAATGTTATCCTAAAGTTAGGGCAGTGCTTAAAAAAAAAACTTTTTTATTAATTCACTTAACTTTTTGGAACATACAGTGCAGTCTTTATTATGGAAGTATGTAATAATGGGCAGCTCCATCCGGGTAAGCACTACGACCTCACAGAAGAGCGGCATGTAGCAGAAATGCTATACTTCTGCGTTTCGTCTTGCGAGTGATTTGCCACTCATAACAATGTGGCCCACATTGTTATGAGTGGCAACGCGTCTGCAACCGTAGAGTGTTGCAAATGTCAATGTGCGGCTATCACTTGCCATCAGGTGAACCGCCAGCTCGCTTGCCACCTTCTACCACGAAAAAAAATTAGGTATCTGTCCCTAAGAGTTCATAGTAAACCTGAGACGGACATAAGTCACTTTTAGGGCTAAGGATGTTGGTAATACAAACGTTATTTATAAGGTTTCTCGTAACATACGTTACAAATACACAAAATCGACTAAAGTATGACTACTAATTTATTAACAAATTTGCTCGACGTATTCGTTTTGTCTCTGTTCACCTTTTTAGGGTTAACGTCGTGATTTAAAATAAGAAACTAGAATCAAGCATGAACGACGACCTTTGCACAACGTCGCTTATGAATCTAGCGATTACCAAGGTCCGTCTATAAATAGTATCAGGCGATCACACAAGCACATGTCTTTTACGATAACTTTTACTAGCCATTTGTGTATATAATATGTTTACATGTATGATTATGTAATGTCTACACTTCATTAAGTCTCAGTTTTAACATGTTATACGCTTATGGCTGTCATGTATACAATACGAAGTGTACGATGTAAAGTACGAACATTTGAAGAAATTCTTGTCAAAAGACGAATTGGTGTGACTTTATGATTCAGCTTAAGCACAAAATAAATTTTCGGTCTTGCCATACTAAAAAGATTTAAACTGAAAACTACAGGTGACTAGCCCATTCTTCTGCCAAGTGCGGTCAGCAAATTGTCATGTAGAATGACGGAATAATTCAATAAGACAAAGATGTATACGTGTCCACATAAGTATACAGTCGCTAGTAATATCTCTTCGAGAGTAGTCGGAAATAGGAACTTATATTTAAAAAAACTTATATAATCTGCTGGAAATCATTAATTTACATGCACAGATCTGAAATTGAAGATAAATACGAGATACTATTGAAGCCAGAGGCTTCCATGTTTTGGGCAAGATATGAAAACAAATATATTACATTTAATGTTTTATCACGCACATCAATATTTACGACGATAGAGCGTGCTGGCATGAATGGGCTGACTTAACTAAAGAAAAACCAGACTTATTATAAACCTAACTGCCATGTATTTTGGTAGACTATAAAATCCCCCATTGTATGATAATCTAATTGATAATAATAATAGTTAGAGGTGTTCTAATCAATATTATCTAAAATTGTATGTTACATTATATTATCACTTACTTATCACGTTTATCTATATTTGCGGGTAGTCTGCGCTCGGTAGGAATGCAATTAGCGATTTGGCTTCATCTCATTCTGTTCATGCGTAATTTTCCACTGTTTGGTCTTTATGGAAAATAGACGTTGATCGATGCGGTTGCTGAGAGAGTTGGTTCTTTCTTCTCTAATGTGCGCGTTATCTCGATTGATTGCTTAAATCGTATGGCTCAAAATATTTCATGACGCCCCGATAAAATTTTTTTGCTTGCGATATTTTTAGAATAATTTTTCATGATCACCATTAGTATTACTTCAGATTTTACTCTCTTTTGACAGGATATGTACTTTTAAGCAACTATATGCAATACTAGCTGTTGCTCGCGGCTTCGTGCACGTTGACTTCAGTTAATAAACTTTATTTTTACTTAGGGTAATTAAATGGTATAGCTTCTGCTCGCGATTTCGGTCGTTTGAGCTTTAGTTTATGGCTTTTCCCAGAATTTCTAACAGCAAAAATTTCTAATTATAAGAATATAGACTGTTGACGATGGCAAAACTTAGTGAGTATTTAATTTATTATCCAATTTACAGTAATGCTTCTCTGTATTCATATTAAACGTATAGCCGTTGGAGATCCATATAAGCATAAGGTTTCTTACGATTGCTAATACGCGACAGAACCACAAAAAGCTGAAATTATATTAGTGAAAATCGCACCCAAATTAAAGCCGTAAGTAAAGCCGCTCCTGAGATTATCAGGCACAAATGCACAGACAAAAAGTTCTATTGTAAATACAAATTCTATTATATAATAATTATATTTATATATACAAGTTCTATTGTAAATATAAATATAGAGGCCCATAATGTTTCAAGCTTTTCTCATATATTCCATGTACAATCATCGATCAGTAAAATTTTTACTATATGTCTAGATTAGAGATATATTCGTGTATAATGTTAAGTATATCAACATATTATCACAACTAGACATCGATATATCCGTTAAATCATGTTTGTGTACCAAAACCATGTTATACATGGTGTTACAATTACGAAATATTTTGCGGCAAACAATTACTAATATAAAGATCATAAATGACTTAAAATGTTGATTCTATTTTTCTTCTTTCCGTATACTCGTACTCCTTATCTGTATGTTGTCTTAAGCACTCCTGCGCGCAATAAGACCGCAGTAGCGGTGCCATTTTATAAAGGAATTCCTCCTGTCATTGTGTAAAACTGCTTGTGGAACACGCGACCATTTTGTTCAAACAACGTCCACACGCAATTTCCAACCTAATGCTACCCGCTCTACTGGAAATCTATTTAAAGCGAATACAGTACGCTATCTATCCAATGCTGCATCTTATAAATGTTATAAACACAAGCTCTTTCTCACGGCTCTGCTCGTGTGTGTTTCTATTAATCCTCAGTGGTCTTACATTGTAGTGTACCTTTATCAGGTAACACAGTTATTACCTATGTTATTATAAGTATATAAAAGTAATGATTGTGTGACCTGTTTCAGGCTCAAATAAAAAAATGTATTTTAGTCTTCCGAACTTAGACGACTTTTTTTTAATTATTGAAGGTTTTTCTGATAATAATTGCGTTTTAGGCCAAAAGTGATCTGGATAAATAATTATGATTGTTCTTAAGGCACATAGACACCTACGCGTTCTTATGAAACGTAAAAATTTAACATAAAAATTAATACGCTCGTAAGCAAGTTACCATACAATTAATTTTCAAGTTTAGCAAGGAACAACAAAAATATTGATGATAACAATATTTGCGATTTAGAATTATTGCTTGATATTTTTCAACTATCACAGCAGAGTACTTTATCTCTGTAAAAATTTTTCCTTGAGCCCAATAGCATGTTCATGTATATCTTTAAAATTCAATGCTACTTTGATTATATCGCGTTTTTTTGTCGCAAAAGTAATAAAATATTTTGCTATTCCATTAAGTTTAAACCCGTGAACATACGGTGAAAATTCCTTTCATGTATCGAATATGCTTAGGGGACTTTAAAAAGATTTACGTATTATTAGTTTGTAAATGTAGTTTAATTTACTGTTTATTTGTACACACTTACGTAACTATGGGGATGAGAATTTTCTACACTTGTTCTTAATACTTTAACGCCCGGTTTCTGAAACACTGGTCGTCGTAGATTAACGGTGGTAGGGCCACGCAGCAGCCTCGGCTGTTGCACGAATGGGCAGGCCCGTCCGGGTAAGTACCACGAAGACGCTAGACAAGTTTAAAATTGACGTAAAACAACATTATCTATCGCTTTGTAATCCATAGTTTTTAATGGCAATATTCAGATTTAATTCTTCTCTCGTGTATTTATTTACATATATTATATATTTATTTATGTTTATGTATGTTTATTATAATTTTGTTTATCTTATTATATTTAAGTCTATTTTGGTATTAAGTAAGTTTATTGAGCACACCACCTCCCACTATTCATAAGTTTATTTTTCCTCGTCCTAAGGTTGTCTGGAAGAGATCGCTTTTTAGCGATAAGACCGCCTTATTGTACCTAGCTTTTAAGACTTATTTCATACCAATTGTATCAAATTCTTTGTGGTGTACAATAAAGTATATAATAATAATATAATAATAATACCACGACCTCACAGAAGACCGGCGTAAAGTGGAAGTATGACAAATACTTTCGCGTTTCGTCTGGTGAGTGAGGTGGCCGGAGCCCAATTTTCAAAAGGTTGTCAACGCATCTGTAACCCGCGGGTGTAGCAGCTGTCCATGAGCGGCGGTATTCACTTAATATCAGGTGAACCGTGTGCTCGTTTGACAACTTTTCGCATAAAATAAAATAAATAAAAAATCGTAGAAGTGAACTAATTAGCTGTCAAATTGCTTTTTAAATGTTATTTGAGTTGCCAAAAGGACTGTTAAACTCTTTCAATTGATCATTCCGATCATTAAGAAGATCATTCTGTCACAGTGTTTCAGAAACCGGGCGTACGTGTATAATTTTTGACTTTCTTCGTTTCATTTAAATTTAAAGTTAAACTATGCGGACTATGCAAAATCTCATACCGCTCACAAAATTTATAAGATGGTAACACAAACAAATCAATATTCGACATGACTTATGACTTGGATGACCTTCTTGCATAATTAGTGTCTCCCTGGTATATTAAGCAACTAATTGTTATCAGGTGATGATAGCGCATTATGATATCGAATTATTGCGCACATTTTGGCGCTATCATTTTTATTAAGAGGATGTTATTAGAAAAAAAAAACTAAAGTTAAGGTAATGCAACTTATGTTGTGGAACAGAGCCATAGAGAGAACCTCCCCCGTTCGAAATTTGAAATGTACCGCAATCGAGTTGCATCGTAACGTTGGCCGTGTAACGCAGGAGGCCAAATGGGGCTACAGGCGCACCATGGGCGCGATGTTCGCATACAGCAAGCAAGCAGATCGTATGCTGATGTCGTACAATTACCAGGTGCAGCAGTGCGCTAGAGCGGGGCACGCCCGGACCACGTCCAGGATGAGCCTTATACAGTGCATCAGGTGAGTCCCCCGCATCGCTAGCCGGTAGCCGGTAGCGAGCGCCGTTCAAGTGAAGGGATAGCGTTCGAAATTTAAAAGTTCCAAGGTGATGGATAGCGTTCGGAATTTAAAAGGTTTTCTGTTTTGTGTTCGGCGAGGGCTTGTTTTTTTTTTTGTGTTTATGCTAGCTTTGTGCGTTGATATAGTTAGTGTTGGTTGTTTATGTAAATTAATATTCACATTATAAATAATTGTTTTAACCGTTAAACTAACATTGTTCGTAGTACCAGTAATAATATAAATACACATGTTTGGATACATGTTTTCTATTCGGACCATTTATCGGTTTGACCAAAAAGGCTAATTCACAACATCTCGTCAATCCAGACAAACTGCTAAAATGGTTTCGGATATACTTATGTTTCCGATTAGTTAATATTAGTAATGTGCATTTTTGAACTATTACGATTCATTAGAACTAGTTGTATGTTTTAACATTTATCATTAGTTGTTAGCATTAACAAAACTCACTGCGTTCTACATTTCTTCTCTCTGAAGAACTCAAAACTGACAGAATTTAGGCATTGACACTGTCATTCTCTAAGATATATGATCATAAGATGTATTAAAAATCCAAATTAAAGATATCCCAAATATATGCCTTATTTGGAACTCATTAATTAAATTTATTCGTGAAATAATCGAATGTATACACTTTGTTTATTCCAAACAGTCCCTTAAATGAATAACATCGTGATTATCGAACGACCGTACCGTTCTGCTTTCGCAATATACAACAGAGTCATCGGTGTATTTTTAACGAGTCGTCCCTTACACAAACGTCACGGTTCAATGCACATTATGAAAGCTATTTATGTTGTTATTCGCTTTACATCGGTCCGAAACGAATTGCTCATTATTTTCGATATGGCAATAAACGCAGCTCTGAATAATTGGAAAACATCAACGTGCCTATTTGGGACCGATTAAAACGCTTTTCTTAGCATTAAACGTCGTCGCGCCACCGAATGGCATATCTCTAGTAACTGTGAGTCTCGTAGATTTACACGGGCGTTGTATTCGAGTCTGCTATTCCAAACGAATTACGCTACGGACGGGAAACTTGTTGTTGGTACACTTTGCGACCCATAAAAACTAAAACGCAAATACTCGGCCGCTAACACGGTTTGCCGCAAGGCGCCAGACGCCGAAAGCACGTAGGCGTCCGATAAAATCAAGTGCTTTCCGAAAATATCCAAACCCGTTTTTAAAACAACGCAGCGGCCTCTGCTATTGCATGAATGGTCAGTGTTGATGACGTACCGAAGCGAAGAAGACCAGTGTGAATCAGATGCACATACCAGTTTTTGCCTGCACTTTTTCGTAAAACAACCACGCACAACTTCTTGTGGTAACAGTTGTGGACGACTAAGAGACCTGCAAGAAGAGGGTCCACTCTACTGGCTTCTATTGGAAACTTCTATAGAAAGTCGGTATATCTCCTGCAACTGACATCGACGGGACATCTGGTTATGAAAATGTCCATGGGATGCGATAATCATTCAAGATCATCAGTGTAAAGAGATGTACAAATAGTAAATTGTCTGGTACCATTCATGTAAAAGATATTGCCAGTGCAGCCTCTATCGGAGCCCAAATGATAAAGCCGTAAATAATCATTGCCATAATGAGACGGCGAGGCCGGCACTCGTCGAGTCAAACGTTGGAGCTATTTTTAATTAATCTGTTTTTCTCCGTTGCACCGAGTCGACTCGCGATGGAGTCATACTACTATAAGAATCTTGCGGCACAACAAGATCAATTACACCGGACTATGTTCAAGATTGACCGCAAAGAGATACGCATGAGTTTACGTAATATTGGTTTATTACGTAAACGCTTCTATAATTTTTCAACTTATATTACAGGTTTCGACAATGATTGCATTCTTAATCGATTCTAGATGAAAGTATCTTGCCTATAGATATCCTGTTAGATAAATCTTGGCGTCTTTCTGCCATAAATAAACATTGGCATAACACGACTCGGCAGCTATCGTCCGATCAGCCCCTAGCGACGGGCGTTCCGAAATAACTATATAACTTATATCTGCTGTTTTCAAACTTCACCGATGCGCGCCTGTCCCGTCTTAGGGCTGTGTGAATTGACGCGTTGGCTCCATGCCATCGCGTGCTTGAGACATTATCAGTGCGCTAGTTAAAAAAATGGCACATCGATCGCTAGGTGCTGCCTTTTCTTATTTCTTTTGTTCCGGCGTGTATACAGGATGATTTTGAAGACGACGGACATATTAATAGAGCATATACAGAATTTGATTCTAAATCTGAATCTGGTACGTACTTGTAACCTATTTTTTTTTTTTTTCAAAATTATTTTTAAGTCTCAAACATTATGAACACATTAAGAAATTCCTGTCTTACCGTCTCAATACAATAACCTATTCACGAGCACTAAAACATCGCTGAACGCATAATGACTAAACCGCTTATCAATAGGGTGACCACTCTTAACGGGATAAACAAACAATGTTTGAAATGATATTTTTCTGGTTGTTTCTTATCAAAATATTTTTTGAATTATGTAATGCTCAATTAAAATTATGTAAAAGTACGTACTACGTCTAAAAATCACCCTATATACTCCGATGATATAGTTTTGTGCTCAAACGAGTAACTTAGAGCCAGTTAAACGGCTCTCGATATAATCCGCACACAATTTCGGTCGACGAGTGAATAATAAATAGAGTTTAATTTAATTTTTAATATTTAGATCACAGCCGTGATAGCTCAGTGTCCGGGCGCTCGCTCTGAATTCATTATACTTGAGCAACCCGACTTCAAATCCCGATGCTAACACCAATGAAATTGTTAATCTTAAGTATATAAGTACTGACTTATAACGTGCTCAGCCCAGGGTTCGAAGCAGCGGGTTCCCTTTTAAGAGTTTAATTAGGTAAATTATAATAATTATTATAATATAAATTTTATATATTATAGATAGGAAAAAGCACGAGTGAGTTTCGGTATTTAAGTGCCTTTGTAAAACTGAGGGCTCTAAGCACGCGCCACACGGACCTTAGGGTAAATGGCAATGCTCCGAACTGTTATCAATGCTACGCTAATAGATAAGGAATTAAACGCACTCGCCGCCCGTCACGAGCTCCTCGCGTGAAACGGATTTGCACCCGCCGTTGCCCAAACATGTGCAGATTAGCGCCACCTATTGACAATCGCAAATGACTCGTATCAACACACCATGCGCAAACGGACAAACTGACGAGCCCGTCCCTCGTACTCGAGCACTTTATATAGGGATGCCGAAACTGAAAAAATGTATCGATATATGGACATTTATAAAATATCAATATCGGCCTCCATATATGGAAGAGAAAATATTGATATATCTATATTATCTTTTTAGGTCCTGTTATTACAAAAAAAACGTATGCCAAGTATTAAATATTTGTACGGACTCTGTCTTGGATTCGAATTAAAAAAAATATCATATTTGATACGATTTCGATATTGAATATTTTATATCGAATCAAAATATACCGGCTAAAATATCGATATATCGATATTTTTTCGGCGTTCCTAACTTTATCTCGGTGGAATTTAACGCCGAATCTCTCTCCACACGGCACGCTCCCGTGATTAGATCTTATTTTCGTAATTGTTTACAATATTATTTATCTGCGCGGTGTCTGATTGGGGGCTTTTGCGTCAATGCATGTTATAACAATACGCTATCGCGGCAGGGCAGAGGTGATCCGCTGATGTGACCTTACCTTGCAGGCACATTGTCCAAAACGAGGGTCCGCGCGCCCTGTTCAAGGGCCTGGGGCCGAACCTGGTCGGCGTGGCGCCGTCCAGGGCGATATACTTCTGCACCTACTCCCAAGCGAAGGCCATACTGAACCAACACATACCGCCCGACACCCCAATAGTCCACCTATCAGCGGCGAGTGCCGCGGGTAAGTCTACCTTTGTCCTGGATTAAAAGATCTAGCGTTTTTACAAATATGTTCGTATCAAATAAAAAAACGTTACGAAGATATTCATGGCAAGAAAAAGGTCTCGAAAGCCGGGTCGTGTCTCCCTGGTACATTTTTGTTGTTCTTCTGCTCTGAAACAATATCTGCCCAGTACATGTTTCCAAAATGGTACATGCGGACGACTAGAGTCTAGCGATCCAACGGGTCTGTGTTAAAGGAAAAAAAATGTGCTCGCAAAAAATATAGTCGAACACTTAACGATGGCTAAATATCAATAAGTACTTTTTGGAATACTGTTTGAAATAACTTGGAGAACAATGCGATTTGTTGAAGAAGTTTCCCCCCCTTTCAGGTTTCGTTTCGTGCACAATGACGAATCCGATTTGGTTCGTTAAGACGCGGCTGCAGTTGGACGGACAGAACATCACCGCACTGCAGTGCATCAAGAGGATATACGCCAAAACGGTATGCCTGTAAACAAAACCACACACACTCACCAACACACACACACACACACTTACATACAGCATGGCGCGCGACACAAACATGTTATAATTAGAAATCAAAACCGCTCCGGAAGTGTGTGTGTGTGCTATTTGCATTGAATTGTATCCAGTGTGCTTGCGGTTAATACATCCACACGACTGCTTGTCGCTAGCTCGAGTCTAAACTTGCCAGTATTTGGTAACGGCTTTATAAACATGACACTGTATCACATGTGACAATTATATACGCCGATAGATTGATCAGCGTTTACTTATCACGTTTTTGACCTAATAGCTCGATGAGATTTTTAATTTCGATTAATTCACTAGGTTTTAGAAAGCGTGAATTGTAGTTTTTTTTTTAAATATAGTTTTGCTTTATGGCAAGCGAGCTGGCGGTTCACCGGATGTTAATTGATAACCGCCGCCTCGGTTATTTTCATCACCCGTGGGTTTGATGCATTGCCTATTAATAAAATGGGCCCGGGTAATAACATTTTTTTATCGAGGTCGGATAGGGTTTTTGCTTTAGTTACGTTGCTATGTTAGTTAGAAATCGTCGTTTTTTTGTTATCATAATATTAAAGATGTCGACGGTCTGTGCACCAAGAAAACAGCTGTGAACAATGAATAATAAGTTTGTTTTGCGACGCAGTTTGTAGAGCGATCAAATATCGCATAGCAAGTTTGGAGGTGGTAAATAACTTATTGCCAAGCGTGCGAACATAATTTGCGTTTGTTGTTTCGATTCGATTCTGCGTCGTATTTCGACACTGATAGAATGGTGTCGCAATAAAAATAAAAATAATATTAATGTCTGGACACATTTTTACAATATCTAGTCCCAAACCTAGCAAGGCTTTTACTATAGGTACTCGATAACTTACTACTTTTCTTTTCTCGCTACTTTTCTTTTATAAATATATAAATGTAATAGATATATAAACACCCAGGAAACATACACACACCTCCAGAATGTGTAGACTTGAGCCCCACTACTAGAAGTAGGTACGTAATAGATAGGTTCGCTATCCACTATGCCAATCGGGTCGTCAAAGCAATAACTTATTAACGATATTAAAGCTGCTTCAAGAATCTCTAAAATATACCATGTATGAAAATGACTCTCGCTCTGCACTTGCTAAAGTCCCCTGACTGCTGCTAATATTATACTTAAATACTTTTGCGTACTTTATAATAAAAAAAAAATAAGACTGCAGAGTTCCATGTCGGTTCTTTTCTAGACAGGTCTAGTTTAGTGAACCGGTAGTAATTTTTGACGTTACATAAGAACTTAAAATAAGCCTATATTAAATAAATAAATCTTCACTTTGACTTTGATACAAACTACAATTATGGGCACACTGCACTAATGAAATATATAGTAGTTAAGGTTTAGAAAGTTATGAAAGCTGCAAAATTAAGAAGAAAATGTAATTGTACGTTTTTAAAATCGAGTCGAAGTATCGTTCCGTCTATTTGCGTTCAAAATGATGCAGAATTGTAAACGCTCCTATCGGCGTATCTAATCGAAATGGCCGTATCGTATAGTTAGATGATCGCGTACTTAGCCTCATTACATTGAACCTTCTCCATATGTTAATTTGCAATATTTGAAATGTAAATTTATGTATCGAAGTGGTTGACTATATGTCTATGTCTATAAATCTAAATAAACAAATAAAGTGATGAGTACTAACTCAATAGATTTTAGCCATGATATCTCAGTGTCCGGGCGCTAGCTTTTAATTCATGTACTCGAGCAGCCTGAGTTCAATTCCCGGTGTCGGCACCAATGAATAAGTGCTGAATTATTACGTGTTCAGCGGTGGGAAAACATCGTGAGAAAACTTGCATGTTTTTCTCAGGTCTTTTTTATTCTTGACTGGAAATAAAGTCAGTGTTTTTGAAAACACTACTTATGATATTTTCGCGAGGGAAGTTTCGGATATACTTAAATGATGTAGCATAACAGGCATGTAAATACTACTGTTTTATCCCATTGAATGTAAGTAAAAAGTAAAAATTAATGTGTTTTATATGTAATTAATTGTTTGTGTAATGTTTAAATCTAATTTTGTTTCTTAACATGTCAATTCAATTCCAAATTGTTGTTACTTATTTTATAATTTTGTTTTAATTATTAATTTGAATTTTTGTCGATTATTACTATGGGCTTTTGTCTGAAATAAAGAATTATTATTATTATTTAATTATACTTTTGAATTACTGGTTTTAAATATTTATTTCATCAACAATGTATGATAAATTGCGTTGTAAGCATGAATTTATAATACGTTAAGTTCTATTTAAAATGGATAATCAAATCCTCACGATGAATCGCAAGACCGGTTGATTTCAAATCATCTCGCGTGACCCTATCACCTATGGGAATACAGCGCTACTATTATCGGGAAATTACCGTCCATTTTTTAAATTGAGCATCCAATCATATTTACGTAAATTGGAGCCATACCATAATGATCGTTGATATTTATGGTAAGTACGAACTTTAATATACGAAGTTTCTACGCAATAGATTCCGATTTATAAACATGCACTATTGTCTATCGTTCGAAAGAGCAATATTTATATCGCTAGCGAAAAGCGTACCGTAAACCGTCAAGCCTGGTAATTAAATTGTCACGCTGGCTATAATTTAATTAGTATTAAGCTGATTCCGTTTTGCAACCGTTGATTAAACCTCAGAGACAGCAAACGATGCATTTAAAACTGTACTATGGACAGAAACCATGAATAAAACAGTTGATTGAATCCAGAGACTACATTTGTAGTGTCCCAAGCGATACGAAAATAAAGAAACTGACAGCATTACTTAAATTTTTATTCGTTTATCGATAAAGGGATCATGATATAATATGTCTAATTTTATTCTACATCGTTAAGGTAACATTATCATTGCAACCCCCAAACACGCAACAATCGGTTTCTGGTTATAGACAACGGCTATCTAATTTCCAAGCTTCCAAACGAGGTAATTTTTAAACCCGTCTAGATTCTCGAACGATAACAATAATTACATTAAAAATATTTTTTTAATGTTATTATTATTAAAAATTTTCGATGAACACTGCACGGATTGAACCCGAGTACATGCGGCGATTCCGACGTCCAGTGGGCCGTGGACGTCTATAAATAGACTGCAACCTGACTGGGTGTTCCGCTTTCAGGGGATAAAGGGCTTCTACAAGGGAATAACTGCCTCTTATATGGGCATCAGCGAAACTGTGGTCCATTTCGTGCTGTACGAGGGCGTGAAGGCCAGGCTCATCGCGGCGAGGAGTGCGGACGGCGTTCCGAGCGATCACCGCTCGCCGAGGGACTTCGTCGAGTTCATGGGCGCTGGGGCATTCTCCAAGACTGTCGCTTCGTGCATCGCATACCCACACGGTACAAGCGCCAATGGCTTCGACGGTCATGTATGTAGTACAGGTCTCGGCCTAGACCCCAGCCCATGTACTAAGTTCCAGCAACCCCATTCTCAGCGCCCATCATATATCTTATCATCAGTGAATTTTTTGTCACGATTGGCCCGCTCTGGGCCCGGGCCTGTTGAGCCTTATGGAAAATCCGCCACTGGCGACAGCAGCAGAAATCCGATAGCAGGGTTTTATGTCAAAAGTTGGCAAGCGATCAGGTGGCCCACTTAACGTTAAGATTGCCGCCGCTAGTGTACATCTACAACATCTGATTATTCGAAACTACTTTGACGATATTAAAATGGTTGGAATGGGAAATGGTGGCCTCACTCGTCAGATGAAACGCGAATGTGTGAAGCAATATACGGTACACTTCCACTTCACCGCCATTCGTGCAACAGGCGTAGTTGCTGCGCGGCCCTACCACATTGGGGTGGCTTCACTGTTGAAGGAAAATCAAGGAAAATCCAGATGGTGTTGCGAACGAGGGCAACAAAAATTTTTTTTCTTTCGTTCACATATTTCGAGTGTATGCTGTAAATAATTAACGTGGATTAAATTAGCGTATCCATGGTAATCTTTATTGCATCGAGTATCCCTCCATCGCAGCGTTAAGAAGCACTCATCAATCCCTAGAGTTGCAAAACCTGTATGAAAGACCGTGATAATATTTATTGAACGGAAGTTATGATCAAAAACTTAATAACTTAAACACTATAATGTGGCATCAAGGCGTCGCATCGGTATAATAATGACAGATGCATTGAGACACAGAAATTTAACTTGAACTTGATGTTGACCACCATAATCATTTTGTCAACAATAAAATTTAAAATTTCAGAAGTTGCAAGGACACGACTGAGGGAGGAAGGAGATAAATACCGCAAATTCTGGCAGACCCTACATACAGTTTGGATGGAGGAAGGATACCGTGGAGTTTATAGGTATTCCGGACATATTAAAAATAAATAAGATTTGAGTCCATTTGTATATTGTCCCCCACATGCTTTTTTGTAGTTTGACTCTATAGTTACCTCATTTATACATGAAATGCTAAAGTATAATGCTTTTATTTCAACCAGGGCTTCAGTAAGGCTGTAGAATCTGCATGAGCCTGAAATAATACAGTGTCAAGGCACTGTATTATTTCAGGCTCATTGTTGCTCTTTTGCCATATTAAAGTCAACTTAAATTATGTTTATGATACAACAAAATTGTTTTTTATATTATGTAGCAACCTAATACTATTCACCTGTTTGCATCATCTTGCAGGGGCCTTGGCACACAGTTGGTTCGCCAAATACCTAACACAGCAATAATGATGTCCACATACGAAGCAGTTGTGTACCTGCTAACAACACATTTCAATAGTTCCTTCTATGAGAATACTTAGTCATTGAGATGTTTAAACTCTGATCCCCAATGAATGGTATATTACCAACACTAATGGTTTAAAAATGAAATACAATGTAGAGAGTTTAGAATTTAAAGTGACAAACTGTTCTTTACTAAATGAAACTATGTTTGCGGATTTATCGCGTTAAATCCTCCGTTTAACGCGATAAATCCGTAAACATAGTTTCATTTAGTAATGTGTAATCACGTAAATACAAGAAACTGTTCTTTTATAACTATCCTAAACTTAATTTCGGTCCCAATGTATTTGTACCTTTACAAACTTCTTTATAACATGTCGCTTCTGGGAGGTTTCATTATCAGTGTGTTTGAAAGTATTTATTTGAGTGTAACAAATGTTTAAGTTTCAAATCATTTACTTATGGTGTTTAATGTTTTATGAATGATAAATTTTATAAATATGTGCAAGTGCTGTGGTGCTCCAATTTTAAAATACTTAAAATGGTAATGATGATGTTACATACAACAATCACTTGTGGTGAACTGATTGTTTCTCAAGTAAGCGATATTGATTTGGTATCATTTGTTACCTACTAGATTTCTCTTGAATTTTTCCAACTGTTCGAGTAAGAAAACACTTGGTTTTATTTCCGAGTTTTATTATAATTTGCGAAAGTGCTTTTATTATACATATAAGTGAGCTATCGTTTTTCACAAATAATTCTTACATATGACTCTGAATATACAAAATTAACTTTAGTCATAGTTATCTAGTCTTTTAGTTGGTAAATTTTTATTACCGCCAATATTGAGAAAAGAATCTGTCAACATGCTTAATTTACAGTTGTTATGATATATATCTATATTATTGAAAATAATATTTGGTTAATATTGATTTTGTCAAACAATTTCGTAAATTAAAATTGTATTCAAAAATAACTGTTTTCTGAACCTTTAGTGATTGAATTTATGATCCTATATCATACACAGATATGCGAGTTATATAAGATATATTAAATAAACAGAATTTCATACTTAAGAGCAATTGCTGAATATATATTATAATGTTTGATATTTCACTGAAGGCAGTTGGATAGTAACATCTTCATGGTTTGGTGTGTGGTGTCATGGCTTGGCCATTTATAAATTCCACAGTCCTGTAGCACAGATATATTAAGTTGTAAGCTGTGATATAGTGCTTGTAAATATTAGATATGTTGGTAGATGTTACGGAGCTAAAGTGCTTTGAGCTTCATAATTCCCAAGATGGCCACATTGATTTACTTGGGATTCGTTTTGATTTTTTTTTCTGTATTTTATAGTAATATACCATTTCCGTAGATATATAATGTTCAAATTTTTATAATACATTTTAAATAAATACTAATGATTGTAGAGCACAAGTGAGTCGTCCAGTCTCTTGTCATAAGTATGGATTCTATTGAGCTCTATCAAGAATCATGATATACAGACAGATATATGTTTGTTGAAATATTTTATTAAGGACAGATTTTGATGTATATCAGACTGAGTATAAGATACTATTAATTTTGTTTAGTAAATAAAAGGTTATTTAAAATGCTTTATTTTATTGCACTATCCCAACTTCTTTTAAAAATTAAAACAAACTTTGAATAAAACATGTCATATGTAAGTAAAGAAAAACAAACATTAATCTAATATGGCTCATAATACATATTCATATCCAGTGGGTTCCTGGCCTTAATAATTAATTGGATAGTCAGACATTATTTGGATGAAAACATTTTAATTGCTGTACTTGCAAAAATGTACTGTTTGGACAAAATATGTCGCTATGCAAAAGTGGCTATCATTTGGACATCGAAATTATTGTTCAAAAGAAAATAAAAATTGACAAAATAGTAAGAATTATAAAAAAAATAGGCTTTATTTGTTCCACAATTATTATTTCATTATAAGTCTGTATTATGGTGTGCCATCAATGAATACTAGTAACTTACTTATGAACATATGAACAATTTAAATATAAAATGTTGACTTCATAAGAACATGGAAGCATCTATAGACTGACAGACAACTTTTCAATATATACAAATGAAACAAAAACTGTCTAAACAATTTGTATTCAGTTATAAAAGTACCCCACACATAAGATACTTCTCCAATACAAAATATGTACGAGTAAATAAAATATACATACAAAAAAATTAACTTTTAGTGAATATTTTTAATTGAACTATATTGACTTTCCAAAGTAATTTGAATACTATCCCATCTACCATCATTTGCACACTTCAAATTAAATAACTATAAAGCAGATGTTTCTAATAAGATGGACAGAATGGTTAATTACATGGATATTAAATTAATAGCAATAATTTTCGTTTAAATGTGCATTAATCAGTCTTAATATTGCTGTGAATCACTCACATTTTGAACGTTGAATTTTTAGCTAAGAATTGGTTTCAGTAAAGTTCTTATGGACAAATTTGAAATTAAAACCCACATATGTGTGGATATTGCATTAGGCATTTCACTAGGATAGCGTAGTATAGTTGAAAGAGGAAAAAGGTTAACCCTCAAAGCTACAATGGGCTCTCGTCTAAACCATATAACAGAAATAACAATAACCAATGCAACTAGCACTTGTAATATAATATGCACTGAGCCAATTATAGCCAAGCTTTTACTCATCCGAGATGATCTGTTTTCTTTTAGTTGAGATTCCAATTTGTTGATTTTACGTTGCAGTTTTGAATATGCTGCGAATTCGTCTTTCATTGATATACCTTTTTGAATCTCTTTAAGCTTCAGTACTTCATCCCAAGCACAGCGTTCCTCGTTTGATATTCCAGACAAACATGCCACAATCTGAAGAAAAAGGAATAATATTTATTTACGTTACACGTGTTATATATATTAAAGAATATTATTTTCGTGTAACTAATATTTTCATATTATAATAATTACAGGTTTCACTAATGTTGGCACGAAAGCGCTCATAGTACACAAAATAAGAAAATAAGCAAGGAGATATCCATTTAGAATTTCCAACATCGTTTTGTGAGAAAGTTTTTTTTAGATCTTTATATTTGAAAAATGTTCAAAATAAAATATAACCTAAAAGACATTTGATTTTAACCAAAAAATATAAATAAAAGTATATAACATTAATATTCCTGTTCAATGTTCATGACCAATTCATGACTTTGAAGTATGATGATCTTTGTCTTTGACAATGACAAGTTGACAAGACAAACAAAATCTAATAGGTTTCTGTCATTGAGAAGAATATAGGAGGATGTCACGTTAGGTCACGTGTGCTGAAGCCAAATGTTTCTCTAAAATGGCGTCGACTCCGCCCACAGCAAATAGTGTTGTTTTCTTAAGTCCGTATTGATATCGATATATTTATACCCATATTGATATCGATAACACGCAAAAATGTTATTAACTTTGCACACCTTTCTATTAATTCTCATTTGTCACCACTAGTTGAAGGGTAGGAGGGAAAAACTAAAAAAAAAATAATGTTAACCTAATGTAAGGGTAACGTAAATTAAAAGTGGTATTTGCTATCAGCATTGTAACATAAAATAGGTTATTGTCATAAATAGTTAAATAAAATAAAAAAGACAGTATATTGATTAAAATCGTTTATTCATGGCGGAATAATATTAATTTTGTTAAAATGTTGCGCTTTGATATATTTTCTGAGTGTTTTTTTCCATGAAACTAAATTAAGTAATTGACTAAATTAATTAACTAATGAACTAAATTATGTTTCTTCAAATCGTCAATAGTGGTTTATAAAGTGAACACCTTCTGCTTCAGTCTGCAGCACTTCTGAGTATCTTTATTTTCCTTTGCTGTAAGTTCACTAGTCTGCATAACTTTTGGACTTGTTTGGTTGCATTAACTACCATAGCCTAAAAAGTAACGTGAAATTACAATAAACATTTTTGAGGTTAGGGAGATAATTAACAGGGGAGATTCGTGCTCTGCAGTCGATCATACATAGGGTTGATGCTTTAAGGTTTTTTTTTTTTTTTTCATTTCATTTCATTTAATTTCATCAAAATATATACTGAAATTAACTTATTGTGCCAGCCTTTAATAAGTAGGATACTAGTTAAAGACGATGATGCTATTGTTTAAATAGAAGTTAGAAGAAATACTCACAATAAGAGTTTTCACCAGAATTTGTCGTCTTTTGTTTGAGTCTGTTTGTCGTATCTATGATATATGTCGTATATATAAACTAACATGCTACATATATAAACTTTTATTTTTATGAACCCAACCAAATAAAAAAATATCCAAAATAAAAAACAAATGAAATATCCCCATAATAATAATAAATCAATGTTCTATTTACTCAAATTGCCTCAAAATGTTTGGAGCATATTCTGAGGACTTTTGCAGGTTTTATATTTTCAGTGCCTATGTTTTCTCATTCTTATAGAGCTTTTCCTCAGAGATTTTCCTCATTCTCATCTTCATATGAGAGCCTCATTTTTCGGAAATGTAAAAAAATTAAATATTAATTTAATACACTACAGAAGACTTATTATCAAAAACACAATTATACTTCACATTTTCGATGTCCCTGAATGATTTCATTTTAATCTGACTATCGATACTTCTTCGCGGTAGCGAACTTGATACTTTGACGAGTGGAGCCAAAAAAAAATAAAGTCTCGATAAAATTTTCAAACAACCATGCTATGAACAACGCTACGTTTTCATGTAAACATTGCAAATATTTACTTATTGACTATTTACTTGTTAATAGTAGTTAGAAGAATAAAAAATAAGCGATAACACTATATGTACAGTTTCTGTTATATACACAAGTAGTATCACATACGAAAAAGTACAAAAAAATGCAAAAACTGGAACTAACCTAAAAATGTCAATCCTTCGTTGTTTTTTCCAGCATTCGAATAACATCCTGTGATGCAACAGTTTGCCATGTTAATTTTTTTTCCACTTATCTTTACAAACACTTCAGAAATTACCAGAACACACACAATTCACTATTAAAATGAAAATAAATTTCGAACAGCAATTATATACGAACAGTACTTATAAAAGTGTAGACCTAAAATGGCGGCATGCCATAAAATGTGCTTCAAGGCGGGGCTTAGTGACGTAACGGAAAATTAAAACAAAAATTTGAAATTACTGACATATACTGTACTTTATTTACATTTGTAAATTACAACGCGTTAGAGTGAGAGAGATATGTTTTTGTAATTGAGGTTTATATTTGCATCATATTTGTATAACGAGAAATTGTTTATGCAATAAAGGGCATATCCTCTTATATTCTTATATCTATGGTTTCTGTTAGCTTGCTGTAAAGACAACAGTCATAAATGCTCAGCCATAGATAAAGTTCTTCTTTAAGTTCTGATAACTTTAATAAATACAATAAATATTATAATTATAATCATTACAATAACTAAACAATATTATTAATTAATTTCGTTTTCAATTTATTGCTAGACTGCACTTAAGATGAAACTTGTAGATAAAACTTTTTTGATGTTTTGAAACCGTTTCAGCGTTGAGCTGAGCGTTCATGGTCTGTAACGCGATCAAAGCCAAACATGTTTATGTTTTATTTAATAAATAAAATTATATAACTGTATAAGATAATCGTGTAAGGTTAACTCATTAGAGGCTGTATGGAGACATGCCAAAGCTTTAAAATATAATAAACAAGGAAAGTGTAATGTTTGTTTTATTTGTGTTCTGTGCCGAAATGTCAAAACGAAAACCTATTAACCTATCTATACCTTGTGGTTGCTCAAGCGATGTAAATGTACTTAAAACATGAAAAACACAATTTATTTAGAGTCTTTTACACATCCCGAGTGTTACCATGACATTCATGAAATTAATATTCCATTGGAGTCCTTGGTATCCTATAGCATCTACAGGTTTTGTTGTCCGTATGATGTGGACGTAAAATTTATTTATAACGGAGAAATAATTCAAAACAAAGTGGCTGTATTTACATTACTACAAGAAAATCTAAATATCGTTACAAAGGAAGATGTTCCTTGGCAAGTATTGTCATGTAATTTTCCAGTATTTCAGTGTAAAGAGACCATCATATCTGGTCTTTGTGGAGTAGCTAGACACGTTTGCAAATGTAGATCAACGAAAAATTTGTCTGAAGAGCATCAAGAGGGCTTGCTGGGATTTCGAAAAGGATGTTTACAAGCACCAAATGAAGTGTCAATCTGGACTAAATTTTGTGAAGTGGACATTATAAGAACAGTGAAAGATATTTTGGCTAGAGAGCAACTTAAAGAAGTGCCAAAAGATTTGATTCGATTTGAAAATCACCTAAATAAACCCATTAAAGTACACAATGTTTATAAAATAGCAAGAGAATTAAAAAAGGCTCAAATAACTGTGGGTACAAAAGAAAAGGGCCAAGATACTATAGAAGAGTTTGAAAAGGAAAGAGTTCCTAAGCCACGAAAATGGAAATCTAATACTAAAAAAGCACTTGAAATAGATTGCACTACAAAAATTACAGACTTAAACCTTAGTCATCAATTTGCAGAGGGACCATTCTTTACATTAGCTGATTTAATTCTATTGACATCTTACAACATTATTATTCAGAAAACAGGAATTTCTTACTTTGAATCTCATTTACCTTTGACATATAAATGATATGTTAATATTACTAAAATAGAAGAAGTAAAACATATTCTGAAAATTTTTCCTGAACTTCAAATTGAACCTTTACAGATGAAGAACATTATCATTCCAATTATAGATGATGTTAGCCTATATCAATGTGATCCAAAAAGACATAATCCTAAAAAAAGGTTATTCACTAAAGAGTTGGATGTAGAAAATGCTTTAAGTGCAATTAAGGATGGAATGGAGTTACATTTTTCTAATAACCAATTTAAAACTAGAATCAAATGGAGTGATATTCCTGATGGTGCTAATCCATTTGCTGGTCATTTACCAGATGTTAGAATAGTAAGGAAGTCTCAACAACTTGAAAATTTAGCTCTGTCTGTTTTAAATGTAGCAAAGGATGGTGACATAATAGTAGATTTCTGCAGTGGTAGTGGACATTTAGGTATCTTGCTAGCTCATTTGCTACCAAAGTGTTCAGTGATTCTTTTAGAAAATAAAGAACAATCACTGCTAAGAGCTAGGAATAGAGTTCATGAGATGGATCTTAAGAATGTTTACTTCTTCCAATGTAACTTAGATTTCTATGTTGGTAACTTTGATATTGGTGTTGCTCTTCATGCATGTGGAGTTGCTAGTGATTTGGTTTTGGATAAATGTCTAAAGGCCAATGCAAAATTTGTACTCTGTCCTTGCTGTTACGGTTCTGTCCATGTTACCGATAGACTAATTTATCCCCGCAGTACCACATTCAGTAGTATAAATATAGACCAATATTTATGTATAGGGCATGCAGCAGATCAGACTCACAAAGATCATCGCTTGGCAGAGAGAGGTGCAAAGTGTATGGCTGTCATTGATTCTGATAGAGCCAGGCTGGCTGAAGAGTTTGGGTACAAGGTGACTTTGTCAAGACTTACCCCACTGTCTTGTACACCAAAAAACAACTTGCTTATTGGGGTCCCATGTTAGATAAAAATAAAAAAGAATTTAGACTAATAAAATTTTTATTTTTTATAACAAATTTTAATACAGTTTTACAACAGGTTAGTTATAAAGGTACATAAAAATGAGAAAAACTGTATAATAATAATAAGGATTTGATTAACTTATCTCATTTTTACATATTATTTGCGAAAAAATATTGAGCAAAATGAAACATGATGAATAGCACATTGACAATTTACTCAGACTAATCAGTATGAGCATACACAATTGCTGTACGACAAGGGATGTATACCTGAAAATGACAATAAAAATATATGAAAATCAATTACAAAGCCATAAAATCTGACTGGTGTTTATGAATATCATCTTATACAACTACCTATAAAATCCACAGGATAATTAAAAGGACACAATGTGCTAAATGTTATCAAGTTCTAATAACTATCAGATTTTTAATAATATATTAAGTCACAAGGCAAATGGATAAATTTTTTACCTGTATTGAGTCCTTGCGGTCACCCCAAGGCATGTTCTGTGTAAAATGGAACTCTCCCTCCGGTTCTACGCGCCCAAATCCACCATACTTCTTACTGTCTGAGCATAAAACAGCCTGTAAAAATGTAAAGTGGTTATCATAATATTGACATTAAGAATACATACCAAGCAAAAACTTTGTTGTTTGTTATTGTGCCAGACGCATTTATGAAAAACCATGTCATGTGCCATACAAGGTGGTCCCGCTTTTAAAAAAAAAAAAAATTTTGAAGTGAGACTGCTTTGATTATTTACAATTGTTGTGATTATACAAAAATGGGTCACTCACAACCATCAGAGAAACACATAAGATTAAGCAGGTAATAAATTTTGCAACTATGTCAAAAACTAATGACGAAAGGACTTTGGAGTATCAGCAGAAAATAATAAAAAAAAAAAGGGAAAAAAGTTCTATGGAATGTGTTAAGTGAGGTTCAAACATTTCGAAAGAAATTATTAAATTACAAGTAATAGTTCTAATGATAATAATGGTGTACCAATGTGTCTGGTGTACCAAATAAACATAAGTACTCGAATATTTCTAAATAATTTATATTTATATTATAATATATATGTAAGTGAAAACATATGACAATATATGTTAAATAAAATGTAAAATAACTTTTAATAATTATGCTACTCCCAATACTCTATATTCATCTCATTCTCTTGTGGGTTACTCTTCTGAAGTTTCACTTCTAGTGTCTATCATTTTCACTCACACACAATACTTCCTTTTTCTGAATCACTCAATTTGACAAAATATTTCTTCCGAAAAGAATATTGACGTTCAGTGATTAAATTTGTTGAATCAATCAAGACACCAAGAATAAGTAATCAGTATGCTGAACTACTTTCAATAAGTTTTCTGCATACTTGTTTATCACATAGCATTGATCATAAATCGGTAATTATGAAATTTTTATCAGTGTTACCTGGTATTTCCCGGACTCGTTGACACCAATCCTATAGTCTGTGAAGCTCTGGGATGGATGGAAGTTGAAGACGAATAGCAGACCGGCTCTTTCAAATGCTATTACCTTGTCTCCTTCATGTTTGCATGATACAAAGCCCTGTAAATTAAATAAAAAAAAGTAAATACTTATGTTAAATGTTAATATATATTATGATAGGTATTTTAGTTTGAGTTTATTAGGTAAATTGTAGATTTTTTCTTGTGGCTGCCAGCTTTGCTAAAACGTAAGTAGTTGTCGTGATATTCATGCCGTGAGAATATTGGACATTAAGCTCAATTGGCTAGAGCAAGTTGGGCGCGTTATCCAAAAGACGTAGGTTCGAATCGTGGAAGCATACGAAAAAAAATCGTACTAAATCCGCATTTAAATATCATCTTGAGGGCTGATTAATAGATCACGATCTTCTAGTAGGTACCGTCGGACGCGACGAAATTATTGTACGGCACGAGTAATTTTTATGAGAATCCTTTTGAGAGCCTTTATTTTATAATTTTCTCCATCTGTTGTCGCATAACATTAGACATGTACATGAACAAAAATGTAATTATTTCTTTTAAAAATTACAGAATAATTTTCTTGCTTTCTTATTTCACACACTTACTGGAGGAGATCGCAGCCAGCCATATTTGTCCTCCAATTGGTTCATGTCGCGGTCGAACTCGTTCAGGAACTTGTATTTCAATAATTGGTCATCCACGAGGTGCCACTGGCGACGCGCGTAGTGGTAAGACGAGTTATTACCCTGGCGCGGGAAGTCCAACCATTCGGGGTGCCCGAATTCGTTGCCTGGCAGTAATATTTTTATAAAAAAGTTGATAAGCTGTATGTTATTTAAATGGTAATATAGGTTAGGTATATGCTATTCTCAAAAAAAAATAAGGCTGAAAAATTTCGCTCGCATATTAATGTGCAAATATATGTGGTTATTTAGCCTTCGAGTTTTATATACGTGAATGTTAATATCAGAAGCTATCTATGTAGGTATAAACATTCTCGCCTTTCCCCTCCCGCGATTCTTGCACAATTCTTTTCTCCATCTTACTCTACGCATACATGCACGTTGATGTGGTCCAGTGTACAGCAGCTTTATTAATAATCGTCATCTCTTAGATATACGAGAATAGCCCCTTAGCCAAGGTTCCCCAATTCCCCAGTCCTTGGAGTCTCATAGGATGTAACAAGTAGCGCGTGGTCTATGCCCCTCCCAACCTTACACCGTCAATATGACCAAAATACGGTCAGACCAAAAATTAAAATTATGCTAATATAATTTTATTATAATTATATAATTTGATTATCTAAATAATCAATTTTTTAGATTTAATACCTATACGTTTTGAAAGAATTAATGTCATACATAAGGTTGCCTGGAAGAAATTACCTACTTTTAGTAATAACGCCGCCTATTTACCCATCATTTCTACATTAAGTTTTTTTTTGTTTATTTATTTTTTGGTTAGCAATAAAGTACATAATATGTTCATTCATTCATACATACATTAGATATTCCTTTAACAAATTTCCTACTTCTACAACAATTCCTTTAACGGTCTTCATCCTTTCATGCGTCCTGACCGAAGCGTTCTTTATTAAATGAAACAATACGTGAAGCGAATGAAAACAATACGTGATGCGTTCTTTATTTGAATTTCGAACGACGTTCTCTATCCGTAAAAGCTATTCGGTAATTGGGTAAGCGACGGTTACCGATGAAGTTCAGGTAGGCCTCCCCGCCGAGCGAGTGCGTGATGAGCCTGATGATGCAGTGGAGGGCGAGGCCCCGCTCCACGACGGCGCTCGGCTCGCTCAGGGTGCTCATGTGGCTGTACATCGCCGCGTCCATCAGCCAGAACGCGATCGTCTTGTCCCCGACGAGGGCCTGTGGCGATATGGGACCGATTTTTTTTATGTGGGACGGTGGCGAGCGAGCTAGCGGTTCACCTGATGTTGAGTAATAACCGCCGCCCATGAACATTTGCAACACCCGTAGAGTTGCAGATGCAACGCAACATTTAATTAAGTGGGCCCCGGTTACCCCACACACCAGACGAAACCAATGATTTAAACTAGCGCCACGACCTTCCAATTTCAACAAAGTTTTAAGACATTTCCCAAACTTTCACAACTGCGATCAAAACAATAAATGTAGCAAACGCTCGCCTAAATTATTGTTGAACTGCTTTGGCCGTCTGCTTGCAGCACTTTTTGATCCAAGTAATATTTATCACCTTCATTGTACTGTGTATAAAGACTTTCCGTTAGTGTTTATTAACACTTTTAATAATTGTGTTACTAATATATAGTTCAAGATTTTAACCTTTAATAATAGTTTTTAAAAAAAATGGACCCCAGTTACCTCGTCATACAAAACGCGAAAGTACAATACTTCTAAACCACGCCGGTCTTCTGTGAGGTACTGAACTTGGTACTTGACGTGCTTTAACAGTAACTTTTGCGACAATTATAAGTAAGGAATTGTAGTAGGTGGCTCAGGATTGCGTTTCGTGGCGGTCCTTGGGGGATGCCTAAGTTCAGCAGTGGAACCGAACAGGCTGAAGTGATGACGATATAGGTATTACCTGGTCGTGGCTCTCTGCATACGCAACGGTTCCCTCCATCCAGCGTCTGTTGGTGAGCGTGTGCACGATGTAGCCCATCTTCCAGTCCTCGTCACGTTCCTCCTTCAGCAGCTTGATCCACATGTCGGGGATGGCCATGCCCAGGCGGTAGTCGAATCCAGTTCCACCCTCGCTCACCGGACGGCCCGAAGCCGGCATGCCGGATACATCCTACGCACGCGATTAGTAATCAGATAAACGATGTTTCAATAAAGATGACGCGAGCCCATACTGCGCGGAGTTAAAAATTGTTCTGCTTTACATGTGACATGTACAAGTGAATGATGATATTGAACATGACATAGAGATGATATAGAACGTATGAAACGGAAAGAGATAGCAGTCATAGAATTGCAATGTAATTAGAATAATTGGCGTAATTTGAGTGCCTCAGTTCGGTGCGCTTGTGTCATATCTACCTAACATTTGTATAAAATCTCATTGTAGTAGACAAAATTTGTAGATATATATATATCAGATTTCGCGAAAAAGAAAATTTAAGACAATTATTCAAAAGTAACTTAATTTCTTCAATTATAGCTGTGGAGTGTTATTAATTCTATAACGACACGAAACACGAGGTTACTCCTGCACGTTACGTATAGTGTAGTATTATTATCAGAACAACATTTATAGGTACCTCTGCGATTGTTATGGCTCTGCTGTCGGCCCTGTGAATTAGCTGGTTGGCCAGCATGAGATATACTAAAGCCTCAGTGTCCACGTTAAGGCCGAAGTATTCGTCGTAGTGTCCGGAGAAGCCCTCGCCGATACCGCGACTGTGGTACAGCATTGACGTGACGCCGTCAAATCTACACCAGGATAACAGTATTTATTAAATGAAAGTATTTTTATCGTTTATCGCGTTTATTTTTAATTTAAATTTCCGATGGACCGAACGCTTGAAAATAATTTAAAATTTGTTCATTTATTTATTTAAATATGTAAAATGCGAAAGCAAATGAATTTGGTACTGACAAATAAGTGATGACGATAATAAGAAACGATTGTCATATGAATAACTCTTAAGGAAACTTTTATTTTCAAACATTTGTGTACAAAGTTTTTTAAGCATTTGTCTAAATCAACATTTACCTAAATCCATCAAATTGATATTCTTCTTGATACCATCTTAAGTTCGAAAGCAAGAATCTTAGCACCTCGGTTCTGGAAGCAAAATAAAATTAATTAAAAGCTAATCAGAAAAATGCTACCATTGGCGTAACCGGGAGGAGGGGGAGGGGGAGTTGCGTGATATGATGATGGTATGATTTCTTTAAAAGAGCACATTAGTTAATGCCAAGCACTGTTCACATGAAATTAAAACAAAGTAGATAACAGGTCGACATTTTCCCACGGTGATAATTTCTACCTTAGCTTAGTGTCTGGACACCTAATTCGGAAGGCAAAGATTCAAACTCCGGCAGCAGCGAACAATTTCGCGACATTTAGCTATTAGTAATCTAAATTACTCACACGGCACACATCACTGTCCGGAATCAATGTCAAACTTCACCAATTATTAACGCCTTTTATTTGCGGAACAGAAATCCACATTAAATGTGAGAGAAACAAATTTTGTTTCTCTCACGTAATATTTATTATGTTAACAGTAAGGAATAAAACGGGCCAACTGCGAGTCGGACTCGCGCACGAAGGGTTTCGTAGCATAACCTATATAAAAATGGCAAAAAAAATCATGTCTATCCTATAGGAGGCCCACTTAAATATTTTTTTATTCCGTCTTTTAGTATTAGTTGTTATAAAGTCAACAGAAATACATCATCTGTGAAAATTTCAGCTATCTAACTATCACAGTTGCAGCAGCCTGGTGACAGACGGACGGACAGACATACAGACCGACAACCAGTCAGCGGAGTCTTAGTAATAGGGTCCCGTTTTAGCCTTTGGGTACGGAGCCCTAAACCAGCGTAACAGTTGAAAGCGCAGACGACGGCGCGTCTTCGCCTTCTGCCTAAACGAAAATGCAAGGTCAACGCTCACTCAGAGTAGTTGAAGAGGCGGCTGTCCCACAGCGTGTGGGTGCCACGCGGCCCGTCGTGGAAGTAGCACGCGTTGGTGCCGTCGAACTCGTTGAGGCCGTCCAGCGTGTTCTTGGAGGCGTGCGAGTGCACCACGTCCAGCAGCACGTATAGGCCCATCTCGTGCGCGCGGTCTATCAGCCGCTTCAGCTCGCACGGCGTGCCGTAGCGGCTTTAACGACCACGTTATGTAATAGGCATAGGTATTTCTGATGGCGTCATCATTATAATTTCTTTTATTTTTACGCGATTGCACGTTGTAAATGTGATGATTTATTTTGTTTAATTTTAATTCTCCGCGTTTGGGTTTAATTTTAATTCTCGACGTTTCGAATCCTTCACAGAGTTCGTGGCCACGCAGTCTGTCTGTTCCGCTACCATGAACGCTATAAAGGGTTCGAAACGTTCTAATAATTCTCCCACTCGGACCGAAACCCAACTTTTAAAGTGACTAGTATCGTGTCACCTGTTGTTCATTTGTGATATTAAGTAGGGGGTAAATATTTGAAAACGAAAGGGTATATTTAAAAAAATTTAATTCATAAAGTAAATACCTGCTTGCTGCGAAGAAGCTCGTGACTTGGTACCCAAATGAGGCGTAGTAGGCATGCTCCATGATAGCCATGAGTTGAATAGCATTGTACCCTGAAATAGAACATACTCACTTTAAAATAGTCAGGAGGCCAATTAAATAACACAATCACTAAATACACCGCGAATTTGGACAAATATTTATGTTGACCTTAATATTGCTTTTGATATTTTTAAATAGAAACCTAGAAGAATCTAGATTTCGCACTGCAGTTTATACTAAGTGACATTTTAAGGCATTTACTTTGTAACGTTGTAGTGGCAATCTAAAATGCGTGTTTAATAGACTAATTACTGATGAACAATGTTTCTACGTTGCCAGGACTCAAACGTGCGTCTAATGGGTAACGCGTCAAGACTTTAGCCACCTGAGCTAAGCGACCGTGATCCTTACAGAATGAAAATCTTTACATCACCACTATTTTCAAGGCATTTCCTGCCTCGCACAACCATTCTGTTGAACCAGCTGCCGCCGGTGGTCTTTCCGAACCATTACGACATGTTAACCTTCAAGAAGAGAGCATACTCTTTCCTAAAAATCCGGCAACGCATTTGTTAGCCCTCGGGTGTTGCAGGTGTTCATGGGCGTCGGTAATCACTTACCTTCAGGTGAGCCTCCTGCTCGTTTGCCCCTTTTCGCCATAAAAAAATCTATCTATCTTGCATTTGCACCTCGAGTGCAGACTGACAATTTAAAATAAAATAAAAATAATCCTTAGGTACTGAAATATTCATTTCGTGTTGAATATCAACTTAAACCTATCAACGTTCACCTTGATAGGTTTAAGTTGATATTTACTGTGTAACCTTGAATGTGATAAGTTGCCAAACGAGCAGACGGGTCATGTTAAGTCCATGGGCGGCGGAATACCGCACCACCGCCCATGAACATCTGCTACATCCGGGGGTTGCAGATGCGTTGACAACCTTTTGAAAATTGGGCTCTGGCCACCTCACTCACCAGACGCAACGCGAAAGTATTATACTTCCACTTTACGCCGGTCTTCTGTGAGGTCGTGGTACTTACCCGGGACGGGCCTGTCCATTCGTGCAACAGCCGAGGCTGCTGCGTGACCCTACCAACGTAAAGATAGTTAATTTCAATTTTTATACCACCGTAAATAGTTTTTAGGATTTTACAGAAGATTATTCACCCTGCTTCTTAATCCTAGGTAGCACGTTCTCCCTGAATTCGTTGTAAGTACCCACTCTTCCCTCAGGAGTGGCGATGCCTACGTGGCTCTCATATATACGTAGTGACGCTGGCCTGTCTACTTTGGGGTGCTTAAATTGATACGGCTGAAAAGATTAGACGATAGTAATTATGGAGCGGGATTTAAAAGTGGTTTTCACTGCGTCATTGATTCATAAAATTTAGGCTTAACAATACAACTGCAATGGAAAGCTATCGGTCCTTAATAATACCGAACAAAATTACGTACATATAATGTTGCGAAAATCTTCGCGCCTGTATTGTGCGCAGTAACACTAGTTTCGTGATAGCGATCGATATAATTGTTGAAGAAAGTACTACGTAACTTACACGGCATTCGTAACGTTTGCCCACCTAATGTAACGTTTTCGCATGTCACTGATGTATAGATACTGTTTACAATGAAACCACTCTCATGGTTTGATTGTAAACGCATTTATTGTTTATATATTGTACTGTAGTAATCATCACACCATCCCAGAAGGAACAAGGTTTCACGTACACATCTATATCGTTGGTACCTTAAGAACCAGCCTTACCTTAAACAACTGGACAAAATATCAACTCAGTAACACACTAACATTCGTTTTTATTCACAAGATGAAATAGCATGTTATGCATTTATTTGTATTACCTGATCCGGCCTGTAGATGAACTGTTGGTAGGTAAAGCCTTCGAACGGCTTTACGTAGCTTGCCCAAGGAGACACTCTATAAAGGTGGTCATTAACAATTATCTGCACGCGGGTTTCGTGTTTCAGAAGGCACTTTCCTTCAGCATCGGCAGGTATGTACAGTTCCCACTTGCCGTATTCCAGCTTCTTGAACGGATGGCTCTTCGGGTTCCAGCCGTCTGCAATTGAATACTTAGAATCTGGTGAATCTCCTTGACAAATTAAACTGTGTAAACACCTAGGCAATCGGTACAAAGAGAACGAAGAGAGAACGACAGTGATTGAATATATCAGAAACTCTGTCATCAATTACGTGATATTTATAATCGTATTCTTATAATTGCATAGAAATATTTTTATTCTAAATGCATTTATTTTGCATGTTGGCAGAAAAGTATTATGGATTGGTCTCGATGAGAATACGGATTTTAGTTTTTTTTTTGCTGATTTTGACTATAATTCAAATTTCTAACACGTTTACCTAACTGTCGCATTTCTACGATATACTGCATTTATTACTGTAATTGCAATGCTAAATTTCAAACTACTTAAATTCATAAAAAATGTGTTGAAAATTTAATTACGATCTACTGACAGCATATAATCGACAGATCTATGGTACTTACTAAATTCACCCTGTAAGTGCATACTATGAGCACCCGGCGCCCATTCACGCCACGTCACCGAACCGTCTGGGTTGAACTGTGGTCCAAAATAGTGGTAGCCCCTTGTGAAACTATCCACGCCACCATCCCACGATTCGATTCGATCCCACAAATCCTTGAAGCACCCATATCTAACACAAGGAAAAATATAAAAAGTATAAGAAGTAAATACCAACATAATCAATATTTTTTGGTTAGCGATTAAATGAAGAATACATGACTAAAGAAAAAACTAATTCTTGTTTAAGCATAAAACTGTCACGAGTATTTGAGACCCTAACTTTCCGGAAGGAAGTTAGCGTAGAATATTTTTTTTAATTAAACGATATGCCAATTATTTGCTCTTGAAATGCTCCATTAGAATCCGTAATTGCTCCACGTTTATTACTTAATACTAATTGTAATATCGTTTAATAAAAAAAATATATATTCTACGCTAACTTCTTTCCGGTCTCTAACTTCGTGTATAATATTCTACTTCGCCTACGTATGAGTTTTAGTCATAGATTTAGAATGTACATGGTGTTTAGATGCTAAGTCTATGATTTTAGTAGCCTACTGCGGGTAGGATAACAGTTTGATATTCGTATCATCATACTCAGACTCCTCTATTTTTAATTGAAATAAATTATTTTCCATAAACAAACTACAAAAATAAACTATAAATATTGTTTATCAGTTAAAAATACAATTCAGAATAAAAATTATCAACACATCCACGTCATGTTAAGTTTGATTAAATAAGGTAGCAGTATGCTACCTGTGATAAGTGAATGAGATGTGAACTTATTTCTAGTAAAATAGGACACAAAAACAAGTAGAATGGTGAGTGCATGATTGATTACAGTTATCTGTAATTTTTTCTTCAATTCAATTATTCAATTACGTTTAGCAGGTAACATGTCTTTAAACCTAAAATACTTCATCAACAAAATTATTCTGTTTAAACTTCAAAACGAAACGACCTTTTGTTTGACATTGAGAATGTTCAGATAGCAACGAAAGCGCTGACTGAACTTTAGGATTTTGTTCGTCTAATGTAGACGAGTTCTTAAAATTTATACACTACAAATATATTATTTATTTATTACATAAATATCGTATTATGAATAAATATTAAAAGAAAGCAACTATTTTTTAAACTCGACAATGTTTGTAGCAATCGCCAGAATCAAGCGCTTTACTGCTTGACATTTGTGACATCGTAAACATAAACGACTTAACCTAATACGTATGTCGTATTTTAGAATCAAAGATTTTTAGTGTTATAAGATAGCTTATGTACTCTTATTAGGTTTTAATTATAATATTTGTGTTAAACACTTACCGACGACGAATTTCACGTTCATAAGGCTTTAAATAACCATCGCGTTCTAATAATTTAGCTAAGTCCGGGACAGGCACGTCCATCGGGTCCATAGCGGAATAGTTACCACCCATTATATTTGTATGTATGTATATATATATATCAACGATGTGTGGAAGCGCTGACAACCGCGCATAAAGATAACTGCCGCTTAAATGATAAAGTACCTTCGGTATTTAAGAATAAAAATATTGAGATAAATAGGGGTCATAAGCCATTGCAATAACATCGTAGGTGTATAGTAACTATTTATCGATAAATTACGATTGATGAAGACCTGGTCATAATTGTTGATTATTGCCCTCTATTTAAGAATTTAAATTATTTGATTACATACGAATTTTAATATTACACACCAACGAAAACCAATTCAAATTCTGTGTAATGTTGTAAGAGAGAGTATTTTTATATATAGATAGGGTTTTATCAGAACTTAACAACTGCTATGTTCATATTCTGGGCTCAATATTATTGATTGTACATGTTTGCCGTTAAGCCTCTTTGTAAATAATAGTGACTGGCAAACATCTTAAAAAAGGCAATCTATTGAACAATAGTCAGTTTTTTTAAGTGTCTATGGGGAAACTATTCATGTGTAAAGTGCAAGCCAATGTGATTGATTGGAGGCAAAAAAGTAGACATGCACAGACTTTTCCCTCACTATGCCTCTTTTTTTTTTTTCAAGTTTTTATGATTATTTTTGCTATGAATAAAAAGGAGTCTATCTGAGTACATAATATTTAATCTCTGCTTTTTAGACTTTATCAGAAGCATGTTATGTATTTGATTTGTAAACTTTTAGTTAAGTAAGAATTTTGATTGTGATTTGTGGAATTTTTCATTTACCATTTAATAATTTGTATACATAAGACATGATACATTTGATACATATTATTTGACATGTGTTTGACAAATAATCATTATAAAGAGAGATAACTATAATTCTCATATAAGATAGTTTACTAACAAAGCAATTATTGCACATTTTTTCCTGAATAATAGTTTTATTGTGTGAGGGTTAATGCTTTATAATAGTGTCCTTTGTAGTTTCTTTAGTATCTGTAAAATAAACCCCTTAGAAATTGTAGAGTTACATCATTTTTTAAATGCCTATAAAGCTAAAATGGATATAAGGTAATTCCATAGTGAGAAACCTTATTTATAGTTATGGTTGGTGTTGGATCAATTTAGCATCATTATCATTTTTATTTATATTATCCTAGTATTAACATTAGGAAAAATAAGCATGATAAATAGGGCTTTTTTAATAGTAAACTCAATTTTCAAGGTGGCAATGCATCTGCAACCATACAGGTGTTGCAGATGCCAATGGGTGGTGGTTATCACTACATATAAAAAAACCACGTTCTCAAATAAAATAAATGCAATTGGGTGGGTGTTTAATTACTTTCTAATTTATTTTATATAGTGATTCCACTATAAATGTTCATTTAAGAGCAATCACAAAACAGGCTTTCTTGATCAGACATTAGATTTGTTTTGCATTTATCTGTTTTATTTTCATTAATATATATAGTAAAAGATCTTTAGATATTAAATGTTTTAATTAAAAATATTGCTATGTTATCTACACACATGAAGACGTATTGATATGAATGTATTTAAAATATATCAGAACCAGTTCTCTTTGCTCTTTTAATAGCTTCTTCGGGTTTCAATTTTTCTTCCTCTGATGGCTCTAGTGGTTGACCGTCACTATCTAATTTCCCTTCCCTGTAATCTGTGACAACCTTTTTGCTATAAATAGCGTCAAAGAGTTGTTGCGGTGTAAACTCGCTTTGGATTACATCTTGAGCTTTGTATGAAACATAGGGTCTGAGGTTGAAGTCTTTTAAGTCTGGTACTACAATTTCCGGTATCATTTCGGGAACTTTAACGAATCGACCATTTAAGTAATAACCTGTGTCACGAACTCCACGTTTGTCTATCTCCAGTTCACGATTTGCAGTATTCTGTTGCTGTAAGTGTAGTCTAGAGCCCCTTTTATTTCCTATAACAAATTTTCTGAAGTTCCTTTTACCTTCTCGGGGGGATGTAAGAAAAATACCTCTTTTCGGTATAAAGTTAATTAACGTCGACACTTTCAGCATTTTCTATATATATCTCAAGATCTTGATTTTTTATTGATTAAAATCCTGTTTACTTTTATTATTGTAGGTTATAGTATCAGTATCAGCTGTCAAAAAAATCGGGTTCTTTTTCTTTTTTATATCTATCAGTATTCATGAACATTCAGCCTACAATTAAGGTATTTAATTGTATTTAACATTCAAAAAGAAATCGCAAAATTGCTTTAGATTTACGGGCTTCATTAAAAAAACATGCTATTTATTGCTGAAAGACGGGCGGGATAAATAATCAAAGTATGTTTTTGTAGGTATCGTTTGCTGTATGTCCAGCGGTTTTGACTGTTTCTTTGGAATATGCATATCGAACCCCCGCGGACGGAGTAATTTATAACTGGCGCGCGATCACGATAATGCCGCTGTCAGTGGTATCTCCGCGACCCATTTCAACGGTGGTAGGGCCACGCAGCAGCCTCGGCTGTTGCACGAATGGGCAGGCTCGTCCGGGTAAGTACCACGACCTCACAGAAGACCGGCGTAAAGTGGAAGTATAATACTTTCGCGTTTCGTTTGGTGAGTGAGGTAGCCAGAGCCCAATTTTCAAAAGGGATTCAACGCATCTGCAAACCCTTGGTTGTAACAGATGTCCATGGGCGGTGGTATTCACTTAACATCAGGTGAACCACCTGTTCGTTTGGCAAGATTTCACATAAAAAAAAGACCTCAGTATACGAAATATGGATAAGCAGCGGGCACGACACGATGCACTGTGGTAGATGGAGGTTTGAACCTCTATCTTGATCGTGATCGTTAGTAATAGAAAGAATCAGATTACGGCAATTATATCCATAGGTGTACCTATATAGCGGGGGGGCCGAGTGGGCCGAGCCCACCCCAGTATGGTCTAGTGCCCACCCCAGGATTTTATGTTACCGATTCGAAATTCTAGGCTGGACACCTATCCTTCAGCGCTAAAAGCAGATTGAAGCCTATCGAGGTTTTCGTTTTCCCAAGTTAAATCCATGTTAATGTAGGCACACAATTTTTAAAATGGCGCCACAATGTAAAAACAATTGACAGCCAGATGAAACAAACTGCATTCTACAGCCAAAGAGTTCCATTTTCAAATGATGTGATTACTTTTTAAATATTGTTTATGTAAGTGGCCAGTCCCGGAAACTTTTAGTGTGACCTATGTATATAATTACCATGAAATGCAGATTCGAAAGTGCACTTGTGGCCAAGACTTGTGTGACTTGTGGTAAAGACATTCTTTGAATTGATAGCACCCTTCTAGAAGGAGAATGCTTCATTATTAAAAACGTAATAAACGAAAATAAAATTACATTTGAATTTCTTAAGGAACACGCTGAACAAGATTTATCCCCAAATCTTTTTCAATTAATTCAAGCTGCAATTGTGATACCAGTCATTTTCAGCCAGATGCGAGCGGAGCTTTTCAGCAATATGGAGAGAGTTACATTTAGTTGAGATCTACCATGGGAGAAGAGACGTTCTTTTCTTCATAAATAGGAAACTAGTGACCACCCCGGCTTCGCACCCCCGGGTGCATGTAGATATTGAATTTCTCGAATATTCTCTGTTATAATATACATATATACTACATGAAAACATTCCACTTGAATACTATCTATTGCTGAAAATCGCATTAAAATCCGTTGCGTAGTTTAACAGTTCTAAAGCGTACAAACATCTCAAACGATTTTATTTTATGCTATGCCAAGATAAGTAAAAGTAAGAACTGTTATTATTTTAATACAAGTAGGTTCGATTTTTAGACAGTGTACGTTTTTTTGTAGTTAGGGCCCAAGCCCACCCTGAAAAATAGCCCTAGATACGCCAATGATTATGTCACTAAGGAAACACAAAAATAATCAAAAACCGCTGAACATAGGCCGCCCCCATAGACTGCCACTATTATCTCCAGACTCGCATTATAACAATATTATGTGAGCGATTTGGCATGGCACACGAGGATATTCTGTAGGCTGCGAATTGCAGACCGCATTATTATGAAATTTACTGTAGATAAGTGAAGTACCCAAAAAAGAATAACTAAATATACTATAATAAGGTAAGGGAAAAATTTCCTCCAGTCTGAACAGATTGTGGGCGTATTCAAGGCAAGATTTCAGTAGGCCAATTCACAGGACTGGCATTCAAAACAACAAAATTTGCCGATACTTGGTCCATAGTACGTAGAGTACCTGGAGTGGTTCAATTTTTTTTTTATTTTATAACATTGCTCTTACCTTAGGATAATGTTATCCTGTGTTGTAAAGACATTTTACAAACATAAATTTCACGCGGACAAATACCCAGATGCGAAACAACTATCTGTGGGCCACACAAATAGTTGACCCGTGTGGGAATCGAACCCACGATCCCCGACGCAGAAGCCAATACTTTAGCAACTGCGCCACGGAGTCCTCAAATTATTTTTGGCTTTCATTTATCTCTGTCATTGGGGGTGGGGCAGGTAATTAGCCTTACTCCCAACGCATAGAATGCTATCTCTTTCCGTATCATACGTTCTATATCATCTGTCACATTTAATTATGTGGCATAAAGTTTTAAACACCGCGCAGCATGCGTCATCTTTATCATGATGTTTTAATCATTGGTCACAAGTATCAACTATTTATAATAATATAGATAGCAAGGTAAACATAAAAATGCAAATGTAAGTGTCAATTTTGTATAATTTATATTTAGACGTAAATTATTACATAGTGAATAACAAAATGTTCTTCTCAAATAAATTTTCCCAAAATTTATTATGATTTATTTTTTTTATACCTTTATTTTTTTAAATACACAAGCTACAAAGTCTAACAATTAATATTGAATAACCGACCCCACATAAAAATGAGATGCATATTAGAATCGGTTTAAGACGTGCACCTATATTTTTGTGCATTTTATTCTTAGTTTAGAAATATAGTGAGTTGGCACGATTGTCTTCGATGTACGTTTTTATCTTATTAATATTTCCTTTATTATATCTGCAAGCCTTTACAATATTATGTTAAATGTTAATGGTATAATTAAATTTTTCATTAATAATGAGGTGTCACAATAACGCCCATTGTCCTATAGTTCGTATTTACATATAGTAATAATTTTGAATTGAGGGAATTGGATTTTTTACGAATTTCGGGGAATGTTAAGATATTTGAAAAAAGAAAAGTTATGTAACAAAAGATTATGAATTTATACAATTCGTATCATTTAAGCGCCTTTATTTGCCGTGCGATTACACACTTGTTTTGCACAACGTAGAGAAACATTCAGACATCAGCATTTCAGACTCAAGTGTGTAAAAATACGATCTTACTTATTAACCGTGTAAATATAATAATTTTAATGAAATAGCATTGATTTTATAGTGTACCTATCTATTTATAAATGTTAATTATAGCATGATCATTATTGTTAAATTGGGCATCTTTCAATGCACTATATTAACAAATTTAATACAAAGGTCGAGTCACGTGATATAAGAAATAATTTATATACAGCTTGTCACGTAGAATGAAATAGCTAGGCACAAAGGCTTTCTCAACAATACTAACATCTCATCAACAAAATAATTATATACGCTAGCGTTAATCGCGGTTTCGCTATACAAACGTATTTTATAATTTGTGTATTTAAATATAAAATAATTAAAGTAAAGTTTTCCTTATCACATCAACATAAACAATCACATACATTAAAAAAATTATAGCACTAGCGTGGAATAAAAGTACCATTCATGTAAGAGAGAAAACTTAGCGTCCCTTCCAAAGCCAGTGAAAATACAATTTTGACATCACGGTAACTCATCGGTACAATACAATTAATGAGTCATTTTATGACCCCCTGTAAACATCAATAGCATCACTTTGTGTAGAAGAAGATAACAAATACAGGTTATTTAACATTTTTATACAATAATCGGCCTCTCACAAATGGAATTTTTGAATCCTTATATGTAGAGTAGGAAAGTTTAGTTTCAAGAAAACATATTAAATCGGATTTACTGAAATATTACAATAGTAAACGGGATTAAACGGAAAAACAAAAATTAACAAATCTTATAATTTTCACAATTTACTGTGTTCAGTATACCTATATTTTATTCACATTACTAATCGCCCATTATTGTTAACTAAATGACCAAATAAAAATATTAATTCCGACCGAAAATATTTATTCATGGACGTAGTTTTCTTCACTTTCATAAAAACTTAAATAAGAAATTAAGCTCTTCTTTATTCATCCCGACTCGACCCAGGCGATGGCCAAAGGGCCGACGTCCATACGAATAAATATTGTGCGTCTGTGGTCACGTGTCCGCTGGCCGGTCATCGTGATGGTTGCCGTCTAGCTCCTCGAGGGTGTCGCTTGACGAATGTGTCATGTCGCTCAGTTCGTCTATTTGCTTCTGCTTCTTCCTCACGTTCCAGTGCAGGCATTCGGCCAGCGAGTCGAACCAGTCCGAGATCTGGTCCTGCGCGCATATCGACGGAACCGGGTACACGGACGTCGTTACGTACAGACTGCGAAATGACAATAATGAGTTGCGCGCCAATAAAAGATTTCGCTTTCGTGCAGGTGAGTGAAGCGTGAAGCGGCAAAAAGCGGTGTGTTAGTAGACAATAGTTCATATAACGTTTAAAACCACCTCAAAAACGTAAATTCTAACTGAATGTATGAAAGTGAATTCATTGTATTCTTTTTAATGAATTTATTGAAACATATCTAGTTAACTTTTTTAAAAACTGACTGCAATAACAATAAAAATTTCATTCTGTTATAAGTAAAATATCATGTTACATTGTTCCACTTCCAATGTTATTCACTTTCATTTTTACATTTAAATTTATAAACGGTCAAAAAAAAATAGACACGTTTATAACAGTAAATACAAAAGAAATTAAATTACACGAAGGAGCACTCCAGTAAAGAAATATCGTCCGCAGGATTTATAGAACGGGAATAAATCCCATAAAAACATGCGAACGTCTATAATACACTTTATCCCCACAAGAAAAGCCCTTATACCATCGAAGTTAGTTACCTATCGCCAGGCCTTAGGGTTAGCTGCGACCGACCGTCGAAAGATACGCTGGCAGCGTTTCGCGCCTCAAGGCTAGGCGTTATCTGGAAAAATCCCGCGGACTTCATCTACTGGTGGCACATTATACGATACTTTGTAACAGGCTACATAAGTCGGGTTCTCTACAGTTAGAATACATCTATCGCTACGGTGTTTTATTAATACGGCATTAAACTCCATTAAACTCCACTCCGAATCACCTTTTCTTCATAAACGCAAAAGAAAGTAGGCAATTTTTTTTTATTAAATTTTGCTGTTTTTTGTTTTTTCTCTACGATGAGCAGCTTTGCTTTTGGTCTTTGACAGATGTCAAAATTGTAATGACATATTCAGATGGAAAAATGGCGGTATAATTAACAATGACGTCATAATCAAAATTTCCACTTAATCATTTTCCTATATTTACGTTGACACTGGTGAATACCTATAAACTACTAACTAGAAGTAACAAAGAATAGTCTGTATGGAGTAATCTCCAAGACGTTAAACTGTAATAATAAAACATATTCGACGTTTAAAGGACTGAGAGAGGTTTCTTTTGAAGATATGAAGACAAGGCGACTGTAATAGTGTGAGATAGGTTTGCGAAGCGTGTTAGCCGGGCGGTTTGCGGGTGAATTCGCCGCCGTACCTATCGCCATGTTGGAGCGCCTGCCGGTTGCGGCCGTCGAACGACACCCACATCGCATTACGGGCCTCCGGCGACAACGCTATCTATAACGTTGGTATGGCATCAGGCGCGGATTTGGGATACACGATATACAGCCTGTCTTTACAATGGCGACAATAAATGAACACACATATAGAGGATAACTTTTTAAAATTGTATTAAAGATTTACATTCTTTAAACATCAATATTTACCGAGTTATCAAATTTTCCATAACAAAGAATTTTAGAACACCTTACGTACAAAACTATAACGTAAAGTTCATTTCTAAAGGTCCCAATGCATATGAATGAATTTAAAAGAGACAAAACATACTGTTAGAAGGAGAGGCTTGTAATGCGACGCTGTGGCGCGAGTTGTATAGGATGTTACAAATTTTGTTTCTTTTTTACTTTAAGTATGGATTTTGTTTAACGTTAATATTTTTTTATAATTATTGGCAAGTAGCGTTAGACGTGTGTTCATTTATTGTCGCGATGGTAACGACACGCTGTGTATATATTTACCAGATATAATTGCGGAACTTTTAAGAAGAATTAATATTTTTAATAGTAGAAATAATTCGCTAATTAATGGGTGCGTGTTTTGTTTTCAATAGTTTATTGAAGAATCAAATATTCGTCGTAGAAGTCGTATCATATTTTTATAAAAACATAACTCTCTGGCTTTTTAATATGGCGCTTTCGAAAAAATAAAACGGCTTCATTTACACAAGTATCATAATCTTGATGATTGAATTTTTGAAAAATTCTGGCAACGCCTGTGGCTATTAGATAATTTATATTATACCTATGAATTTCGGTTCTGTGCTTAAAAACTAAGACTGCTCGGTTTCATGATCTGCGAGTTGAAGTTATTTGGTACCAAATAAGTTCTTGGTTACAAATTTCATTAAAATATGCCAGTATGTTCCCCATTGATGCATAAATTATCTTGCAATGCATGAAACTCAGACTCAGATAATAATGGAGGTGTCATTTCATTATTAATTTAATTTCAAAAATATTAACTATATTTTTGAAATTTACCTAAAATGCCTAAATACATAAACCGTTATCAATTTAATGTCTATTTTCAGAAACAACGAGTTTTCGTAAACGGCATAGAATTTTCGCACGTTAGAAGTTATAATACCTAGTGAAAAGTACTCGTAAGTATTGGACTATAAATATGTATCAGGTACACACAATATAAAGCGAAATTGGGGGTCGAAAACGGTATGTATACCAGGGGTTCCCAGACGTTCTTTTTCTCACACAAAACATTTTCAAAATTTAACTGCCGGACCCTTGCAGCTCCACTTCTACCATATTCCCAAAACTCGACAAGAAATGAGAAGATTGGATCTGACGAGGACCCCCGTCGAGTCTCCCGTGGACCCTGCGGGTCCGGCTTTACCACTTTTGGAACTTAGGGTGTATACCTTGAGCTCGACGCCGGCTGGCACCACGATGGGCCTGAAGGACAGCGAGTGGGGGCAAATTGGGGTGACCATGATCGCGGGGACCGAGGGGTGGATCATGCTCGCGCCGGCCGCCACCGCGTACGCCGTACTGCCTGTCGGCGTGGACACTATCAGCCCTGCAACAATCAACCGTCCGTTGAGACCATGCGACATGTGGACATGTGAGACTGCGCGACATGTGGACATGTGAGACTACGACATGTGGACATGTGGAATGGCCTGTGACGTTCCACTCGATGTAGCTACAAAAGCTATTTGTTTTGTCTACTTGATTTTATACGAATATTATCCATATTAAATGAAACTACTATTCAACGCGATAAAATGCGTAAAGTACTTTCATTTAATATATTTGTATTTTGTGTGGAAGGGTGGGGTAATAAGTAAATCCCAACGACAGCTGCGACCTGTAGGACCTATTGCAGTCTTTCCTTCGTAAACATTGCCCCCTTACTGTTGGATAACATTACTCTGTGTTGTAAGGACGAAACGATTATCCGTGGGTCACACAAATAGTTGTCTCGTGTGGGCAACGAACCCACAACACCCGGCGCCGAAGCCAATAACTTTGGCAAACTGCGCCGTGGAGTCATCACGTGACAGATATGTGAAATGGGACCATGGAATGGGAAGTAACAGCCTGTATGTCCCACTGCCGGGCAAAGTCCACCACGCGACGGAAATATCAATACTCATTAGAATTATATTATTTTAAACACACAATACGATTCCAAAGTTCAAGAGCGTATCAAGCTTATTGTCGTGTGTTCGTTCACAAGGTGTCTCGACTCGCAATTTAAAAATATAATTTGCAAGCCGTGTCGTATGACTTAAAGATAACCCTTTTCGAGTGAGCAGAGATATACTCGAGCAACCTGAGTTGATATTCCGGTGTCGGCACTAATTAAACAGTCAATTGCGATTTTTAACTGCCGACTATCTAACACGTGCTCGGCGTTGACGATAAACATCATGAGAGGATACCTACATATTTTCGAAATAACAAAAAATATATATCAAAGATACGTAAGTAAAGATATGTAAGTCTGCAAAAACCACAGTGGGGTCGCGTGGTGGACTATGCCCTAATATCCTCTTTACAGGGGACAACTTTGCCCATCCGTGGGACGTAATATACGCTGTTACTTTTTTTTTTAATTTTCACATTGAAAAATTAGTGGGCCCTTGTGGGTGGTGAATGTCATAACAGGGTGCGAATACATTAAATCTCACCGTCGCCCTGGACGGAAGTGATGTGCTTGCCGTCGAGGAACAGGTCGATGTTGGAGAGGTAGGGGGAGGGGCCGCGGTCCACCACCACCTCGTTGAGCACCAGGATGGTGGTCGGCTTCTTCTTGTCCTTGCCGTCGCCGCTGGTCTTGCGGAGCACGACGCACTGCAGCCGGGACCTCAGGGTCAGAGCCGCGTGACCTGGAAGCGAAAATGTTCTTTTAATCGGCAGTTTAACTATAGTTGGGCCACGAGTACTGTTGCACGAACGGGTAGGCTCATCTGGAAGTACCACTACTTCGCGGAAGACCGGCGTGAAGTGGAAGTGATAGATAAGAGACACTTCTGCGTTTAGTGTGACGAGTGAAGTAACCGGGGCCCACTTTATAAGTGGTGGCAACGCATCTGCAACCCTACGGTGTTGCAAATGTCTATAGGCAGCGGTTACCACTTATCACCAGGCGAACCGCCAGCTCGCTAGCCACTATCTCAAATAAAAAAAATTTTGGAAACTGTCTGCGCTCAACTACTATCTCACCTAATGGTAAGTGACAGTCTATGGAAAGGCCTACGTTCATCAGCGCAATAGAACCGGCAGAAATGATGATGATACAGTCGAAGATAGTTAAAACACTAAACCCAGTAAATAATATTGCAATCTTGCAAGCATGTTAAGTTGTGAATACACCTGAATTTGATTGATTAAAAAAAATCTCAAATCTCCTGATTTTTTTAAATCAATCCAGGTAAATTACCACTAATATGATAATGAAGAATAGGCTATAGGAAATAGGATTGTGACTAAGAGATTTGCAATGATATAATACTTCAAAATAATAGCTTTTCTCTTATTAAAGTCTTAAAAATGTTTTAAGTTTCCTAGATGAATAAAAAAATACGGATTGATATCGTACCTTCTAATACATTCATGACTTGATCTTGAAAATTGTTGAATTCGAATGGCGTGAGGAATCCGAGGGAGCCCAAATGGAAAGCCATCACCGGCGGGACAGATTGCTGGAAGAAATACACAAATCAAAGTCATTTGTTCATAAATGTTATACAATCAACCCTCAGTTCGCCAATTTAAAAATAGAAATTGCCAAAATCTATCTGCCAAATCTATCTAATCTATTAATTACAATCGATCATTTGTTTCACACTTATTCGATTTCAGTTTTAAATCAATAATCAAGTTTAACGATTTACAAAAGACCTTTGTAGAAATAAGAGGTCTTTTAAAATATTTTTTTTTTCTAAATTAAAATATGAATGTATACAATGATAAAGAACTAAAATAACTAACTTACTAAAATAATGAAGAACTTCGAAACAACGATCCAACCGCCACAGACGAGTCCGTTCTTATTGTATTTTTACTAAAACCAATTTCTATATAATAATATAAAAAGTTTCTTGCTAACGTGTTGGTCCTTATTTATTAGAAAGAATGAGAATACAATACACAATAGTAAAATGTTGTGCCCATCGCAACATATACAATGGTGATTGTTCCAACTACGTTCAACACTTGTCAATGCTCCTAATCTGCATAACCGTCATAACAATAACAATATATGGAAGAGTGTCCAGACGAGATATGGTATTTAGTCGACACCGAAACTTACGTAATAAGGTGAAAGTCCAATGATATAAAAATATGAGGTAAATATGACTCTAACGTACCGGAACTGAGCACTCAAATTACGCTAATTGGTGTACATTGCAACTCTATAGACTGCTATCTCATCATGCGTTCTTTATCATCTGCCACATTCAGTTATATATATGTCATATACTGTACAACGTAACAACTTTTAAACGCCGCGCAGTATGGACATGCCTCATCTTTATTAAAATATCATTGTGAAAGAAAATCTCGGAAATTTTCAATGGATCCTGACACATATCTATTTTGAGATATTTTTATCAAGAGGATAAGATGGTTTAAAATACGTGCATTTAGCGTAAGCACATCCTCTGAAGAAGCTAATGAACCTTTCTAACTTCATGTGTGGTCACGGACCACAACGTATTGCGGTCCTCCTTGGATTCGCCTGTGGCACACACCAATCAGCCACTTTTTTGATAAGCAGGAGTTCATCCGGGTACCTCATCTGACCTTAGTTCTAATGGTAGACAAACTTACAATATAATTTCCAGTGGAAATTAACAAAAATATTGGCGATGCGGGAACTTTCTTCCGGTTATTGCGCCGCTGAAGTAAGCGGCCCATGACCTCACGACACGAAAATGTCAACAACAATTTACGCTCATATTTTTTTGATTTTTTTTGCATTTTTAACAATACTTGACGCCATCTAGTGTGCATAATGTACAGTATGCAAAGAACATTTAACGATTGTCATTTGTATCGAGAGATATCGTCGCCTTTGCTATTAAAATTTTAGGATTAATTTAAATTTTTTGCCCCAGTCTCTACGCTGAAAATTAATGTTAAAAATGTGAAATTTTTACAGATAAAATGACACAAAATCTCACGAGCCGCACGTTCAGCGACAGTCTACCTCCCAGTGGCTCGGTGTGACGATTGTACACGTAGACCAGCTGTCTACGTGTTATGTGGTCGACGCGTGAATTTTATCACCTCATGATAAGTGCCTTTAACTATGGTAGGGCCACGCAACAGCAGGTCCGTCCGGTTAAGTTTAAGCATAAGCTCTCTTGCCACCTTCTCACGTAAGAAAAAGTGCACCAAGAGCGACGTGTTACCTGGAACAGCGAGCTGGCGTGGAGGAGGGTGCCGTCGCCGCCGAGGCAGATGATGAAGTCGATCTTGTCGGTGAGGTCGTCGGTGCCGGCGCGGAAGGTCATCAGCCTGTCGCGCACCGACGCGAAGTCGCCATACTCCGCCAGCAAAGTGTCGTCCAGCACCGCGGCCTCAACGAACACGACCATGCTCTTGTCCTGTGGTGTGATATCACAACCTGATCTAAGTCCGTGAAGATCCGCAAACACTCCACTCAGGTCAACTATATCTAAGGGCGGATATGATCATATTTTGTAAATATGATCACATACAAAAAAGACTTGAGAACGATTATAATATGCGAATGTTAATGCCTACACAAGGACCAAACCAATATGGTACTTATTTTGTAAAATCCAAATTCGTAAATGTATCCCGGTGGTAAGAAATCGTCTCGCGTGATCAATTTTATTTCAATATGGTATAAGTCTCCATTTTTAGAATCTCTAACTTAGATTAATCTACTAGTAAATGTAAATAAGTAAGCTATAAATAGCTTACTTGTTTACACATGTAAATAGTGCTAGAGGAATTCAACAATACATCTCTACCATTATTATACTGGCCGATTTGAAAATACTTATAATAAATGTTTTTGTTTTTAAAATTACTGGGTATAATAAAATATTTTACAACACATAACGCATTCTTGTTATACATTGTTATACACGAACGCTATACATTGCACTGGTACACCATTTTTACACAATAACGCATTAATCTGTAAAAAAACGTATCGATTGTAAGGAATAAAACTATTTTACGCGTACCCGCTTTGTATATAATTTGCAATCATTCACAGTCCCGTGAAAACTTTACGTGAAAACTTAATCATTCAATTCAGTCAATATATTAAAATTATTGGTAATTGTTATTTTTTGTTATTTATTGTTTTTTTTGCTCCTACAGATTATACTTTTTTACTTCAACCTTACGTAGCGATTTAAACGCGATAAGGCCAGAATTAATTAAATGTAGCTATTCAATAAATTCAAATTGAATCAACTCCTTGTGTTTGATGGCTGCTTATAAATATGTTAAAAAGTAGCTATTGTTAGGTACCCGTGTTCAGTTTGCCGTGGAATCATTAGATTCAATAATTTCTCCGAGCTCACTCTTTTTAAGGTTGGTGGCAGTGCCACTCGTGGGTTTTTTTCAATGAGTATTGTCAATTTACAATTGATAATACTCATGGTTCACGTTGCTGACGGTAGTCACTTAACAACCCTTGAACCACCTGACTACCTGCTTACATAAAGGTAGCCTGGAAAAAATTGTTACCTTAACCTGAGTCCACCTGTATGTACCTACGCTATGTTTTTTTGTATTTCCTTGTGTGCAATAAAGTACATTCTATAAAGAAAACTTTTGATAAAAAAAAATAAAGCAAATGCAGGATTTCGTTATTTTAATGTATTTATTTTATAAGTCACATTTATTTGTTTCAGATACGACACATTCAGTACAAATAAACATTCCAGTAATACACTCATTACCATATTAGCCTATGCTTGATTGACCGCTTGCTGTGGTTATGTATACAACTACAGCAAGCGGTCAATCTAAAGTCAACAGTGAGCGTCTTTGTATTTACAAGCAAAGCAAGCTTACTTTCGAGTTCTGTTCATAGCACAGACAGATACATATCGACATCAAAGACCGACAGTTAGAATTTGCGAACTATTATTAGGACGCCGGTGATCATTCTCGGTTACTGCGAAACAGTCACTGGGAGATAAACAATATAAGTCTATTGTGCTTATAATTATTTTTGTAAATAATATATCATAATCTTAAGCATAACAGCGTGATTGAATTCCTTAGATGCATGTTTGGAAAAATGTTATCTTATGAAAATATCTTACAATTGGAAATTCCTAAGGATTTGTGATATAATAATATTTGTATCTGCGTTGAATTTTGAAACTGCATTAGTATAAACTTACTAAACTATACAACCTTGCCATTATTATCAGGTGGTACACACTTAAGGTCACCGTGGTTAAACAATGACCATAAAATTGTTTAGTAGCTGTATTTACTGAGCAAAAGAAACGACGAAAAATGTTTACCGAATGACCATATTTATTGGTCGAATTCTTTTGTTGTTAAGAGAGAAAAATCTTTTCGAGACCCATTTGTGTAATTTATATGCGGTCCATGATCCATTCGCTTTTATATAGGTTACGGTGTCAAGAGTTCTTATACCGTGGTCACGGTTAGAGCTCCGATTGGGGGAAAAAAATGTAAAAACTTCGTAAAATGAAAAATATTTATTATTTCGTCGTAAGCACTACGATGTACATCAATAAGCGTTGTTCGTAAGAGCTCAAAAGAATCTTTGGATAGGTTAAAATAAAGGTGTAAGAAGACAACGGGACGACACTGCAGAAGTTTCTGGATAACAAAAATATTTTTTTTTCTTCAAAAAACATTGCCATTCTAATCCCTAAAAAACAGAACTTTTTGACAACGCGGTAGTCATTCATAAATACCAAAATTTTACTGTTCACGCACACATACGAACTTGTGTGCGTGTTACGACGCGTAAAATAAAATCACGTACTTTTTGAGATTAGTTCAAATGAATGTAATTAATTATTTACGAGTGATTTAAAATATTTACCATTTTTAAATAACATTATTTATGTCTAGAATTTAATTTTAAAAAATGGATACACTTAGAAAAGCCTCCCTGTATAAATGTGGTTGGTCAACTAGTTAAGGCCAGACTTTATGACTTAAACATTTCTAATAATTAATTTATAGCAAAAACATCAAAACGATGTTGTTAACTTGTATGCAATCGGAACAATAGTTAATATTGACAAAGATTTAAACGGGGCAAGAGTTGAAAATCGAGATTTTAATATCAGGGATAATATAATCGATATAGAAGGAAAAAAAAACTGTACCTTTAACACGCATATTTTACAATTTACAATAGAAATACTCTTCTTATCGATAAAATTCTCTAGTTTGGAGCGATAAATATAAAAATATAACTTATATTTATCCAGTGATTTCATTAGAGCGTTAGGTTTATAATAGCTTCGCGTGGCTTCTTTTTAACTCCCATTTTGACCACATTCCATTTAAATCCTTATAATAGTTAAATCGTTGCGATATCAAGTGCGGAACAAAAAGCGCATCTTTCGCCTTTATAAACATACTAGCGACCCGCCCCGGCTTCGCTCGGGTGCAATGTATTATACATATAAACCTTCCTTTCTTGGATCACTCTATCTAGTAAAAAAACGCATCAAGATCCGTTGCGTAGTTTTAAAGATCTAAGCATACATAGGGACAGACAGACAGCGGGACGACTTTGTTCATTACTATGTAGTGATATAATGTGAATATAATAAAAAATATATCAATCCTCAGTGCAAAAAAATAATGCCGGACAAACTAGACCACCGCAACGTAACAAACTCCGTTAATAGACATGGTGACGGCTGGTCGTCGACCTTTCCCTTTCTTGGCAAGATCGCATATGCGTTTGCAATTACTTAACAGTTCTACATTACACTGAATCTAATTGGACAGATTAGATGGCTAATTATATAAAATTAGAAAGTGAGTCTGAGAATATAAAGACAATCTGTAAGGTCGAATAGATGAATGAAGGAACTTTATAGACGGAGAGCAGTCGATGAACAGTTAACAGAAGTGCCGTGGTTTCATCACAATCATATAAACTTAAAAAAAGGAGATATTCTTTTGTTAAGTGTATATGATTGTTAACTTAGCGATGACAATAACTGGATATTTACGAACAAGTCCATTGGATTTACCAAGCAAGTTCAATTGGACTAAACTACACATCTGTACACTACAGTAAGTAGGTATTGATTGAAGTATATCAACGACTTATAAAACATTCTGTAAATATACTGTGGGTTAACATACGCGCCGCAAAGTAGGAATATTATCCGCCTATATAAGGTAATTAATATAATTGTACTTTATTAGACTTGATTTTATTAATTCATAAAGATTCATAAAAAATAAAAATAAAGTCGTCCCGCTGTCTGTCTGTCTCTATGTATGCTTAGATCTTTAAAACGGATTTTGATGCGGTTTTTTTTACTAGTGATTTAAGAGTGACTGAAATTGGACCCCTGCGGAGCCGGGGCGGGTGCCTAGTATTTAGAACAGGTCAGTATAAAAAGCTTATTATATCATGTAATAGGTGTTAGACAATAAACTGATCGATTTATGAAATTTAAGAATATAACATAAAGAGAGAAGGCGCGTGCATCGCATATTTAGCCCTAAAGTAAAAGAGGTAGTTTAATAGATACAATACAGATTCTTACAGTTCAATACACGTTCATAAAGGCCTACAATGTGATAAGTGATGGGCTAGAGAAAAAAGTTTACGGTCTCTCATGCGAGTAGCAAAAATCGGCTAGAAGACAAACATTCCGATTATCTATCTCAATCACCTTTCACCAAAGCAAAATGAATTCTTTTATGAATTGTGCAGTGGTCTCACAGTCTTTTAACGGTGGAAGGGCCACGCAGCAGCCGGCTGTTGCACGAATAGGGAGGGCTCATCCGGGTAAGTACCGCGACCTCACAGAAGACCAGCGTAAAGTGGAAGTATAATAGCCTCGCGTTTCGTCAGGTGAGTGAGGTAGCCGAGGCCCAATTTTTAAAAGGTTGTCAACGCATCTGGAGCCATCGGGTGTAGCAGATGTCCCTGAGCGGCGGTATTCACTTAACATCAGGCGAACCGTCTGCTTTTCACATAAAAAAAAAATAAGTCTTATGGGACGCATTACTCACGTGTACGAGCCAGTGCACCAGCTGAACGAACGAAGACAGGATGCTGGCGTCGTGCACCTTCTTGATGACCAGCACTGTGAGCGGTGGCTTGTACCACGTAAGGCGCTGCGACGCGGGGTCCTGGATTTGCCTGCAGTTTCATAATGGCCGAGTTAGCTCCAGTTTCTAAACACATAAGACTTTTTTGAAAATTTTAAATAGGCGCTTATGCTTACTTCGCTTATTATAAAGGTCTATGATCGATCGATCTGCAATATCTACTCAATCAAGTTTAAAAGTATTCGAAAAAGTTGATATGTTAATGTTACTCAAAATTCAATTTCTTTACTTAAACTCGTTTGTATGAATGCTAGAGTAAAATTACTCTTACTTTTATGTAAATAAATAGAATCAATTAGGAACGGCAGAATTTATCACGTTAAGAATAGTGTACAGTATAACTATATGGAATAGTATAACTGTCTATTATTCAATATATGGAACGTTTTCAAACTCACAATTAGTCTTAAATAGTTAAAATTTACATAAATACATTCTACATTCATCTTGGCGACTAATCAGTTCAAGTTACAAAACACTTACATAACCATAGCCGAGTTTTTCATTATCCTGCCACATGGTCCAAACTGTTGTATGGGGGACGGAGCGTTCAGAGATCTAGTTCTCCTGAAACAAAACGAAGACGTTAGAGAACAATTTAGGTACTTATGTATTCTACGTGCGCTTCACGTAGATTGAGTGAAAAGTCAGCTCCGCGTTCAGATAAATCTTTTGAATACGTCTTGCTATAGATAGCAGCTGTATCTGTTTTTTTAGAAAATTTTTGTGAAAGCGTAACAACGCTACCACGTATGTACATTTTTGTGTTATTTAACAGGTTTCAATTTATTAAGCGAATTGGCTTACATTATGTCGACGGCATTTCTATTTAAAGCGAAAGGTGTAAATTTCGCCTCTTTTAACTTAATATCCAGCGTAATTGTTTATTCAACACGCCGTTACGTATCTCACTTTAGCAAATATAAAATAATGAAGTAATTACTTCCTTTAATTATTCTACATTATTTGTTTTCAAATTTCAAGCAAGAAATATTGTAGAATAATTCTTTTAATCAATGTCTCATTAAGCTTAATCGTGAAGTGATTAACTTAACAACCGCAAATTTTTCTGCATGAAAATCCGAGTGCTTAGAGAGATAAGAATAAATCCGAATAACGCTAAACGATACATATTCTCGCAAGTTTTATTCTATACATCATAAACATTATTAACGGAGATTGTCATAGTGTAAAATAGACAGAAAATTTCATGCAACAATAAATAAATGGAAATTTACTGAAAATTTTGTTTAAAATTACGATTTTCATTTCAACACACACGAAGACATACCAATGTGATTGATTTCTAGTGAACAATCACACATAAAACTAATAAATAGGAACTCGGTGCGAACATAATGAAATAAATAACAGATCGAATAGAATTACAATCAAAATACAAAACAAAAAAATATATACCTGAACGCAATACATTTAAAAACCGACTGCACACAATAAAGACTATTTACAAATGACTTGATGAAAGCCGAACCGAACCCGTTTAGGTAATATATGATATCCACAGAATTAAATAATAAATACAGGTTGTTCCCAATGGCAATGGTAGGAAATTTTATAAAAAGATTAACGCGAGATAGCGCGACAAGTTGCCAAAGCGGTTTCTCAAATTGTCAATTGGTTTATCTTCCTTTTTGTTTTGTAATGTCATACGTACCAAAGTTATTAATTCCACTATTGAATATAGTCATCAAAATAATACAATGCTTAGAAATAATCCCTATGATCGCATACATATGTTGCTCAAAAAACTTATTTTTATTTATTATTATTATTAACGGTATTCGGTAATTAACAAACAGGTTCAATTACAAAACAAAATTTGGAGAATTATTGGCCTAAACCATATACATAAATAGAACTGTAACACGATTTAAATTTCTTCTGATTGTACTCTTATCAAATTGCATACAGCCGTTGTGTTAATCAGAAGTTCGTTGTAACCAAGATAGAATCTAGCAGTTTAGTTGCATGAGTTGCTAAAAATTTTAAACTTCTATCGAAAACATATCTTATCCTGTAAATGAGAAATTCTTGTATATATATATATATATGTGTGTGTGTGAATGAAAAATATCATTCGAATACGACGGTAAATTTCACCGAAAAAAAATGTTATGATAGCTCGGTCGGTAATCGGGCGGCCCCGAAACAGAAGACCGTGGTTCGTGTCACGATCATTTACACACTTATTTTTTTTCGATTCCAGATCATTGCTTTCTTTATTTGTTATTTTTTGTCGATTTGTTATTTTGTTATTTTTTCCCTTTTTTTTAAAGTTCTTTCTTTTGTGAAAAACACCAGTTCATATTTTCTTATTATTACGTCGGTAAGATCGAAAAATATTACGCATATTTCATTACTCAGTAATTTGTTTCTAAATTTAATTTCCAAAACGAACGATTTACCAAAAAAAAACCTCCAGGTCCCCCAGGTACTTTACTTTAATATCTCAATTAGATAATTCTCAATTAAATAAATAAAACACAACTCCTAAAACCTCTAAAAAAGGCAAATACCTACATCTAGAATTAAAATATATTTCATTCAATGTAGTAGTGTTTCAAATAGGCACTTTAAAGCACTCGTGAAATACATTCATAGGGTGATTTTTCAAAACAAAAAACCGAATCATCCTGTGAAGATACTTGAAAACAATGCCACGGCGGAGGTACGTGGGCGAACTTTTATATTAACCTAAGACACGACCTTGCTAATGAAAATCAACGGACGGTTGTTTTAGCATAAATAATGTTACCATAATATTACATATGCATTGGAATGGAAACTGGCAAGGAGCGATCTAGGAGCTCCAGCGGGGCAAGCGGGGCAAGCGCTTGCGGACGAAACTGTTTTGATAGATCGTTATCATCATCCTCCTGCCCTTATCCCGCCTAGATGTGGTTGGCATATGTGAATCATGTTGTAAGTGGTTTCGACTAGGTTTTTTCCGACTGGCCGCCTGCCTGACGTCAAACCTCCTTGGGAACAAACACCCAGATCCGGGATAATTATCTCTGGGTCACACAAACACTTCCCGTGTAAGAATCGAAACCAAAAGCTGAGCAGCTGCGTCACGGAGGCAAGTGTTAAGATAGATAGATGTATATCTTTAAAAAATATTGCTAGTGCTCAAACAACAACGCATGATATTGCTTTTTAATTTCTTTGTTTAATAATTTTTATGGATGATAAATAGTTACCAAGTATCATTCAGAATTTAATTATTACGGTAGCCATATTTAATAGTTAACACGGATAAGACTTATCAATAAGAGACCGATAAGAGTATATAAACGAATCCGATTGCATTACAATGATTTGCATGTAGATTACTACAACTGCATAAACAGTAGAGTTTGTTACTTAGCAATAATCAGGATTTAAGTTAAGTTTTACATATTTCCTGAATTACTCGTAAATCTGTCAAGTATGTGAAAACTTTAAAAAGATTTTTTGTTTGTTTTTTAATTATACGCCATAATTCTGAAGAAATAGTTCCTGCACGAATAAATTGCAATAACAAGTTGATAGATGTTACTATGTATTGAATGTTTTTGTATATATACAAAATGCTTATTCCATGAAAAAAATTATATGAACTCTAAAACCTATGTGAATTTTTTTATGTTTTTATAAATCAGTTGGCATACATTCGACATTTCAAAGATATGTGATAACATCCGATAAAATTGTCAATGGTTTTTTCACGAAATATTGTAGTATTCGTAATGTTCAAATATTCAAAAAATGTTTCAAACTTAATTTTAATTGACGGAAAAAATAAGAGATTAATTTTAATTGTAGACAAAAAATCAAGAGCCAAAATCTTATAAATCTTTGATAATGATTCGGTTTATATATTTTCGAAATAGCTCTTTAAAAAAATTAATAGAATATAACGAAAGATGATTAGGACTTCGATTCATGTCAATTAAATCAAAGGTTAATTATCGCTAAAGTTTATGACTACATTATAAAAAATATATAGTAGTACTGCTTGCTTATACTATTACTTCACTATTCTTTATAAACTATACTCGCTAAAGTGTATAAATTATACTCACCGTCTATCAAAATATTCTTCTTTGGCCCGAACAAGGGCTGTTTTACCAGATTCGTGGGAAAATTGTCGCCTTAGCATTGTTTGTGGTAAAAAACCTTCAAGCAATAACAAACACGTTTAAATGTTTACGGACCCGATAGACGCACAGCGCCATCTATACCACTTAGAAATATAACACTTAGGCACGAGAATAACAAAGGAGTGAAGAAATTGCATCACTAAAAAACTCGTGTTGACAATAGGTAGTTATTATGCGTTATAATAAAAAAAAGAAGTCTAACACAAAGAGTTAAGCCGTAAGCTTGCTAGCGTAGATTATGCGCGTGCGGCAGTCTGATACTCAACTGGCGTAAACGTGAAGAAGCCTCCGAGTGCGGACAAATGTTGCCAGTGACAGTTCTGACCTTGACGCTGTTTTGCGAATCAAAAAAATTTGGTCTCTGACAATTATGCAGCGTTTTAAGTTTTTTATACTGCTAAATTGAATTATGTACAAATAAGCATTTGCTTTAATTCTGTGATCTGTATTTATTATATGTGTTTTATGATATTATTTATTTTTCAACTCAACGTTGTACCGGTCGGCATGCCTCCCTGGACATTGACCGATAAAGTCGTCGATCCGAAAACAACCTTAGCACTGATTGTGAAACAGTTAAAATTCTCTTTATGGTTAACAAGTGTAACTGACGCAAAACTGTTTATAACAAGTACGTTTTTGTTAACAAAAAACAAAACCGACCTTAAATATACATTTTCTATTTTATTTTGTGGAGTTTCGAAATCCCAGGTTCATTTCTAATGAAATTAATGTACAATACTTCTCCACGCGACCTTACTGCGGATTGGCGGACTTGCAAATATCTTCGAAATATTAAGATAAGTCAGCACCTAAAATTAACAATTTCATTGATGCCGGTACCGAGGATCGAACTCCGGTTGCTCGAGTAAATTGAATTAAAGGCGAGCGCCCGGACGTGCAAATGTTGCCCAACGGAACCAACAACGTTTGCGCAGTTAGTGCGACGTTCGCCAACATTCTTTGATGGCTCGGTTTGTCGGTTTTAGGTGTCAACACGGCAGCATTGACCGACATCGGCTGTCAGTAACGATTACATAACTCTCCACTGTTACGTACGTGAACGGCGTCATTCCTCTATCGGTCTTTATATGGTGGGGTCCATCCATACACGATATCGAAAGAATGCACTTTGGGCTTTTGGCACCGCTACCAGATCGCACTCTTTCCTTGTTGGCACCTAGATTTTATTCCATTACACAAACGAAATAATCTCAAGCCTTATTCTATCATACGTTGAGTCTAGACTTCGATTGTTGTTTTACAAAGTTCCCGTAAGTTTTATGTATACAAAAGTGATGTGTGGGTAACCACCGAACCGAATACACTAATACATAACGTACATATACTATACTAAGATCTGTATCGACTACAACGCACGAGTAAGAAAATTTAACCACATAA